GCCACCGAGGCGGGATGACCTCACCGGAGGCCAGCGAAGCTCGAGCTCGCCGGCCTCGGGCGAGGCTCGCCGGCCTCGGGCGAGGCTCGCCCGATTTCGGCGAGGCCTCGCCGACCTGTGGCGAGGCTCCAGCCTCGCTGATCTGGCGAGACTCGAGCTTGCCGGCCTCGGGCGAGCTCGACCTCGCCGACCTCGGGCGAGCTCGACCTCGCCGGATCTGGCAAGGTGGAGCCTCACCCGAGGCTGGCAAGGCTCGGCTCGCCGGAATCGGGTGAGCTGGAGCCTCGCCTGAGGCCGGCGAGGCCTCGCCTGAGGCCGGCGAGACCTCGCCTGAGGCTGGCAAGGCTTGGCTCGCTGGAATCGAGCAAGCTGGAGCCTCGCCAGATCGGCGAGAACAAGCTTCGCCGGCCTCCGGCGAGCTCGTCCTCGCCTGTGGTCAGTCGCCAGCCACGGCGGGCGGCGATCGGCCAAAAATAAAGGAAAAAGAAAAAAACAAAAATAAAAAATAATTAAAATTTCAATTTAAAAAATAAAAAAATATTAATATTATTAAAATGAATACACAAAGTAAAATCAAATCAGATTTTATATACCAAATATCGAAAAATATTTTCTAGTTTATTTTCAGGTTTCAGCCAAACATCAGAAATTTTTTTATTTTCTTGGATAATGACTTTATGGAAAATATTTTCTAGAAATGTCGCATTTTTCGCGAAACAAATAGAATCTCAATTTAAAAAAATATATATAAAAAATTTTAACTAGCTTTGTATTGCATAAATGTTTTAGCAGTATAATTTTTAAAAAAAATCATAAGAAACAGGTATTCCTAGATTAGGTTAAATATAAAAGTGTTTTAGCAATATGGGTCGGGTCAGGTATGGATTGGGTATGGGTCAGGTCAGGTATGGGTCGGGATATTTATACTACGAATAAATGGGTCATAAACGGGTTAATGGGTCAATTTGGATCGGACCATTTATGACCAGACCCAAACCCGACCCGACCCACCCGTTTAACAGGTCTAATATTCTCTTATTCCAGGTGCCACTTGCCAACATTATACATAGGGATGGAGTACATGAGAACACATAGTTTTAAACTTGCTGAGCAGGTAAATTACTGCTCTTGGAAATTTTGTTATTATGGCCGTGTTTACGAATATCAGAAAATATTCTTGGTTTGCTCTTTCATTAGTTATCTGTGTCAATATTAAGAGATCCATGAGCAAAATCTTCATCAGCTGTAAGTGTAACTCTTTGTACTGGAGTTCACCATATTCTTCTTCTTTTGTTATCTCTTTGGATCCCTCCTGGATATGCTAATACTATACCTTCACTTTTCTTTTTTGCTATGTTGGGGAGAGGGGGGAGATGAGAATTTGGTTAGAAAATGCCAAAAACTTTGAACTTTCCCTCATCTCCCTTCTCACAAGTTTTTTTAAAATTTTCCTCATCTTCCACCCAGACTTTCATCCCATCCCGCGTTTTTCCTTCTTTTCCTAAACATAGCATTGGCGATGACTTTACCCAAAAAAAAAAATAATAATTCTGTGAGATATCTAGGACTGCATGTTTGGTTGATTTTCTTAGAGAATTAATGATGTAGCTGAGGCCTTTTAAATGTATTTTTGGGAATGTTAGCATTTGGCATTGATATTTAATAAGTGCTAAAGCTGATGTCAGTTTCTAGAAGAGTGTATAGTGAGGTGTCCTCCGTGGGTAAGAACAAATGCATCCTTTTAGTTTTAACAGTAGTATTGATCTTTCCTACTATTAATTAAGTATCCTTGTGCATAAAGATAATATGTTTTTTCATAGTTGAAAATTTATAGAGAAAGTTGCAGCTATATTCACCGTGTTCTATGATCATAACAGCGATCATTTGATTATTTGGACTTGTGAATTGATAACACAGGCTTCCAATTATCTCCTTTGCTGTTTAGTTTTTCGTGCAGGCTAAAGCAATCTGCCCATCAGACCCTCTTGTATATAACGAATTGGGAGTTGTTTCTTATCACGTGAAAGAGTAAGGAGGCTTGGTTGCTTTGTTTTTCCTTGCTTTAGGTTGTCCTCTGCAAATTTCTTATCTATTTTTTTTGGAGGGGGGGGGGGGGGGGGTGTGGGTTTCTTGCAACCTTTGGAGTTTATGCTTAATATGTGCTTTGTTACATGCATATATGTGTACAACAATAAAAAAAAACTAAGCATTATCGCACTTGCTGTGGTTTGCTGCATGAATCCTTTCATGTTTTAGCGCTCTATTCTGCATGAGCAGTACATTGGAGTTTTTTTGTCAATAATAGTTGTTGATGGTTGCTAAGATACTCTGATTGTGAGAATTTGATTGTACCATTCTGACACTGAGTTGCTTTTAAACATGCCTTTTTGGGACATTTCCAGGTATAACAAAGCTGTTCGGTGGTTCGAGAAAACTTTGGCTCACATTTCATCTCCTTTAAGTGAAATGTGGGAACCCACTGTTGTTAATCTAGCTCATTGTCGCGTTGATTCGGTCTTTGTTTGATGAATCAATACTGAATCCGGTGTTTTTCTTTGATTTTGTGGCATATTCGTCCTTTGTCCGAGTCGGCCATTGATGGAACCTTCGACGGAGATCCATTCCACTTTTGCTGGAGCGATGCCCGCGGTTAGAGGCCGCTTCAGTTAGTCCATCTCTCACGGTTTGATTTGCATATGTGTTTCCTACGTGCGATTTGAATTTCAGTTTTCGTGACTTTTGAGTTTGAGAATTTCTCGCCGGAGTTAGTCCGACGATGTAGAAACCGTCGGCCAACTAGTGGCCAGTGGTTATTGGCCGGCCGTGGTTATTGACGTCGACGATTGAAGGTTGAAGGTTGAGGGCGACGGTGTCATGGAGTTCGCCGGAAGAATTGTTCTCATGAAGGCGTGAGGAAGGTGAAGCTTCAGCGAAGAAGACGTGGAGAAGAAGAAAACCAGAAAATAAAAAAAAATAGAAAAGAAAAAAATATGAAAAAAATATGAAAATATAAAAAGGGGTATAATAAATACAACCGGGTTGGATCCGGAATTGGGTTGAGAACTGGGTCGGATTGGAAGCACCATGGGCTGGAAGTGTTATTGAGTCGGGCCGACCATGTGGGTTTATTTTAGTTTGGGGCTTCAATCGTTTAAAGAAAAATCAGAAATTTGGGCTTGATGTGTTGAAATGGCCCAAACCAATCAGACCAAGGAGAATTGGGCCTTATGGCCGGCCCGACTTGATCCGAACCCGGACCTTCTGGGTCCGGGTCAGACCGGCTAATTGGACCGGGTTCCTTGACCCGGTCAGAAGTCCTTTTTCCCGAAATAAAAAAAATAAAAAATCCAGAAAATCCAGAAAAATAAAAAACGTGGGAAAAGCTAAAAAATGTAGAATTCTCTTAGTTTAGGGCTTTTAATAAACAGTTTAGGCTTGAACAAAAATCAAACCCGAAACTAAATAAGCCTTTAGGGTTTTACCTTAGGAATTTTTTGTTGTTTTTTTCTTTTATAGACAATGCTAGGTCGTTGTTTGTGCATTTTCATTTTGATTTCATTTGATTGCACAATTTAAATATATTGCTTGTTGTTTTTCCCTTTTAGAATGGTTAGGTCGACGGAATTTAAAATTTTCGATTAGTGAAAGACTGCCTGACATTTTAGTTAGCAAATAGTCAAGTTTAGGTACTGAAAGGGCATTAGTTGAAAACGAGTGTAATCAAGTCCCCGATCCCTTAAAATCTTTGGTTGCGTATGTTTTCGAGATGACACTCCCGCATCTCGATTAGGGTTTCTAGCCGACCCTTAATCGTGGCTAGCGGCGACTCTTATCGAACAAATAGATTTAAACAATCAATGTCGCGCGAGGTATAGACTTAGGAAGAGTCCAATAAAATACCTCTACACCTACTTCCCTGAGGCAGCCCTCGAGAGTTAGGTCACGACATTCATTCATGCAGAAAGTTGAAGTATGTGAAGTTCTTTCTCGATGGCTTGTATATGTCTTTGTTTTTATTTTCTTATCCTGGTTAATATGGATCAAGAACATGAGTGTATACAATTACAAAGGCAGTTCTCTGCCATAAAGCTCTCTTCGGCTTTTTTATGCAAGATTGTTGGGAAGCTGGAAGAGGTTTTGATGAAGCGTTTACTGGAGTTGCATATTACTATGTCACTCATGTTTGAAGTAGAATTCATAATCGTAAGTTCCATGAGACGTGGCTCAGGTCCACCAAATCATAATAAAAAGAGCACTAGACTTTGATATGCGAGTTTGAGCTACTTCGGTTGCTGCAAAGAATGCTAACAATATGCTCGGTTTAAAACTTGGCAATTTCGAAAAGAGAATTTCAAGACATCATGCGAATTTCACAAACAAGCAGCACTGAATATATTACTTCTTTCTCTCTCAAATTTGTTTTTCCCCAGCCATCCTGTTTCATTTTTATTTATGTATTTATTTTTTTTCGGGGGGGGGTGGTGTTTTTGCGGGAGAATGGGGTTGGGCCATCTCATGTTAATTTGTTCTTACTTTACAGGGGTTGTTCATCCTGTTTCGCATGGAATGTGTTTTTCAAGATTGATAATGTGTCGTCATGTTTGGTTTTTCCTTCACTGAACCTAATCCTTTCAACTCCTGCATGTTCAGGATGTACAATGAAGCAATATTGAACTATGAGAAAGCTCTGGCATTATCCACAAGAAGTGTGTGCACTTATGCTGGTATTGCTTACACTTACCATTTGCAGTTATTTGGATGCTCCTTTTTGTAATTTATGGATTATCTTTGCTGTTTTTAACTTTTATAAATGAATCAGGTGGCGATTGCTCAGCAGACAAATATACGAACATATAATTATCTTTTGGTCGTGATTGCTTCATTTATGTAGGAAAGTTTTAGATTACTTTATGTAATAGTAGTTCCATGGCATGTATATCAATTCAGATCTTAACACCTGGGGGGGTGTTAAGATTACAAATAGGTGCCCCGTTTGGCAAGTGGGAAGATTATGCATGCTAAGGAAGGGGGAGTGGGGAGGGGGAGAGAGAGAGAGGACAAGGAGAAGTATCAGTGGTTGTCTGGATGTTACAATTAGATAATACAAATATTCCTCTATATGCTCTTGCTACAAAAAGTGCAAGGGCTATACTCAATCCACCTGAAGCCTTAAGGAAATTTGGAAGTTATATTCTTAAATCCAAGTTATCGTTCTATAGCCATTTGCCCCTTGTTCGGAACATCATGAGACAGTTTGCGCCACATTTCGTGTGGTTGTTGGAGCATTTAAAGGATTTTTCCTGAGCACAAGAAGAGCGACACTTGGTCACGATAGAAATCCATTATGCATCAACTCATCTGGGATGTGTTGCCTAAGTTAAAGATACATGGCTTGAGTCTGAACTGTTGAAGATGAAACTAATAGTTATAAAGATAGTCTTGTCATATTTGAAAGAGCACGTAATGGTTCTCTTCATTGCAGACAGGAACTTTGTAGGGCTTCTGAATACTAAAAGACAGAAGTGACTCAAAATCTGAGTGATCTTTAACTGCTTTAAGAGTGTAATATGTTGGACGTGTCCTGGCACACATCTCTTTCATTGGTTAGGACACATTGCATGACATCAGGCTAACAACTTAATATTCGTAGGTTATGAAACCACATTAGTTTTTAGATTATAGTTTCATTTCACTGATGCTGATTAGATAACCATTCAGAAGAAAAATGTTGTACGGTGTATGGTGCTGTCTGGGTGTGTGGTGACACTTAAGGTGCTGTTCTGTCTCTTTGTCATGATTTTTGACTGGTCTGACAGATCTGCTTCCTTCGATTGCATTTTGCAGGACAACTTCACAGCAGCTATTACATATTATCACAAAGTAAGATTCATATATTTCTGTGATGGCATTATTTCCCTTGAGCCCACCATTTATCTGTTTGAATTAGTCTATGAGTAGTTCAGACGGCTCCATATCGGTTACATAACTTTGTTCATGTGTAGATTTTAAATTGACTAATTTGACAACGTACTTTTTATGCCAGGTATTCATGTATATTTTTCTTCTTGTTTGCATTATGCACTCAGTAAACTAGTTTAATATGTTGCATGTATCAGCATATTTCTCAACACTTAAATGCGTGTATTGGTGAGTTACTAAGTCTCTCCTTTCTGTTCGTTTGTTTTCAGGCTTTGCGATTAAAACCAGATGATCAATTCTGCACTGAGATGTTAAGTCTGGCTCTTATCGATGAATGCCGTCGTGGTGTAGACTCGAAGTTCGAGTACCGTTAAGATAAGGTGGTTGGTTGATCTCATCTGTGGAGTTGTTGTACGTGCCTGTAATTGCAGGAAAAAGAGGATGAGACAAAGTTATTTTGCGTTGCTTAACCTTTATGTACTCTAGACTCTGCAGACATGCAAGGCATCACTTTGTCTCTGTAACCTTGTCAATCTCTGTTTTTTTTCATTTGCCATAGTCCTGTAACATTATCTATATGTGATTAATAAAATTATATGTTCTTCTCAACCGATTTTGGGATGTCTGGACGAGTTACAGAATTTGTTGGTTTATCATAGTTTGACTAAAAAAACCTGTGTAGGTGTTGCACACTTGCAATTGCCAAAAGCCAAAACTGTTTGAACTGTTGGAAGAAGCATAACTTCAATTCCATCTTGTATTTTATTTGAGGGAGAGAACCTTTAAGAAATCTTATTCCAGATCATCTTTTGCTACTCGGGAGAGAGGCAAGTCAGATTTATAAGTCGTACACATGGATGTGTTCAGCTCATTACATAGACAGAATATGAAAACACGGCACGACAAACACACGCAAGCTCAATGAGCAAGGCATCTAGATTGTATGTATCATTTATTTGTTGGAGAATGGGGAAAGAGCAGCTTCAGAGAAGTCATTGGAGTCTTTGTTGTGGGATTCTGGGATAATCGAGCCCTTCAATAGACCTCCGAACAGCTGTGCTGGGTCGTAGTATATCTCAACTTCTTCCGCTCTCAGTGATTCATCAACCTGAATTAGAGATTCAGAGGTGGTTAAACAACATCCCTGCCTGCCGCAGAATGGTTGACTCGTTTATATAAAGTTACAGAATTCCCTGGATCTGAGAGAAATTCATTGAACTCGGTCCATCCAGTCTCGGCGGCAACCAAGTCTATTGCTTTTGTACCAATTCATCTACTTCGGATTTATTTGTAATGAATTACCAGACTATAATTGCAGTGCATGGCACTTCTGAGTCCATGCAAAGAGACACTGACTCGCCTATATTTTCATTCATAGCGACTGGTTTTGCTCATCCCTGGCGCAGCACGTTAGACCAATCTCATTAACCATTTCTAGTTGAAAGATTATTTGAAGTATGTGTGCCGTTAAACGCATGCTTCTTGTATACAGGATTTTTCATCCAACAACGCACCTTAAGAGTCCCAAGGCCACGAAACTCCACCATCTCTCCAGTGGGTGCATGCCCCTTGAAAGGCCCTTCAAAGAAACCCCAGTGCCTGAACTTGAAGGCAATAACTGGCGGACCGGAGAAGACCTCCAGCACCTCCCACGCGAAACCACGAGGAAAGGCTGATTTGAACGCATCATGAAACGATTCAAATGTCTCTTTTTCAGCTTTGTAGTATTGAAATTCCTCTGGCAGAGAAGTTTTCAGCAATGCGTTGTAGGTTCCAAGTTTCAGGGTTTCTTCAGCAGATAAACCCTCTCTACCTGAAAGAAAAACTCCAGTGGAGAAGGTTCTTTATGTTTACACTAGATAAAGAATGCTTGTCATCCTTAAAATCTGCTGATGGTATGCTCACCATGTTCTATAATGGGTTCATGAGTTCGAAAGGACAAATAGTGGACTTATAAGCATCATACGGAACTTAAGTCATGTACATACCGTTGATGACTAACTTGAATTTTTCGGGACTTATTGTCCTGATGTCTTGCACCCGGGTCTTGTGTGAGACCTCCATTTCCCAGGACTTGATAGCGTTTTGTACGGTTTCTTCTAACGATCCTTTTGGCCATTCCTTCAGGACATAAGTACAGTACCAAGATGAGTGAGAGTAACAATTCCAAATGGTAAGTGCGAGAACCAGCAATACAGTAATGAATATCAACAAGAACAGCATCAACATTAACATCACATCAACCTTGGTTCGGCCTTGTTCAAAGAGCCTGTTCGCATCTTCATATGAGGGAGGACCACCATGTCTCCAGTGAGTGTTCTCAGCGTCGTCATACAAGAAAGAGCGGTACTTATCTCTCGGAATTTCTACCCGAGTTTCTTGAGCTGCCATGATATTTTTCGCCTGTAGTGCCGTGGATACCGTTTGAGGAATTTATAGGGAAGTATTGTGAGGATTGGGTCATAAAATCCCAGTGCTCATGAGCGTGGTTGCTCAATAGGTATAAAGCAGCCATTTGTCTTCTAACGCTTTGTTCATGCATGTCGCTTTCTTGGATAATCACTGAGATTATCTTGGTCAGCCGGCAAGATATAAATGTTTTTGCTCAATGAGAGTTTCATTAGTATTTCCTTCATTTGAAAAAGCAAAATAAATGCTTGAGCAGTGGACATACATTGCTTTCCTCTGTGGATCAAGTAAGATAGCTTCTCATGGAGTTCTTCTACTCCTTGTGAAGGTCAAAGACTTTCGATGACAAAAATGATTGATGCAAAGTAAGGCATACAATTCAGGGAAAGACAGCCTAGTTTCGTTTTCATCCAATCTCAAGATGTTAGAGGTTTCAAAGCGATGATTGGTGAAGTGATTGTATGAATTAGTGATGATTATCAAGCGAGTGTTTGATAAAAACCGGTGGTTTCTGATTAGTAGGATGGTTGTAGGACTCGGTAGTTGGCGGCTTCCATTAGAAGTGCGGGAAATTAATGGTGATTCTAGCTTCATCGAATTTATGGGTCCATTTCTTGTTTCCCAACTAAGAGATTGTCCCGAATTCAATGAGCTTCTGAAAAAACAAAATGCATTGTACGGTATGACCATATTGTTTTTCCCTCCTTTTGACCTAAATACATCAAACCTTAGTACAGCCATTCCCTCTGGATCAAATGTTTCTGATCTCTACATCAAATTATCAGTTTCATATGGAGAAGTGAAATTATGTGAGATCTTGTGAGCAACCATCTAGCTTCTCCTCACAATCATTTTTGAGAACTTTAAGCTGATCTGATACCCTTTCTGGCTTGCTTCAAGAGCTCGTTAATAGCCTCCACTGTCGGATGGATTAAGTTTACCTTTTTCTTTTCTTTTCTTTGGATAGAGTAGGATAATCTTTTCTAATAAAAGAAGAGCCAAACTTGAAAGGTTCTTTTTCCTGTCCATTTCGATCATCATTTTGAAATTATTTTTACAGGATGTCACTCATCTTTCAACCAACTACAGCGGTTGACGCAGGCCATTTCTTAACGAGTGTAGCCAGCATTTCAAATGGTTCCATCATCAGACCACGGACAGGAAAGCTTGTTCTGACCAACTTCAATGACGCAATCAAAGCAAACAAGATCAAGAACCGATGAATAGATAGCCTTTGGCCATATCGATGACGGTATTGAAATCATTCGATCTCTGTCTTTGACTTCGAGAGGTTAGATGATTTCTTACATCACGCGAGAAAACGATATGCAAATATGAGAGATACAAGGAAAAATTACAGATCTCGTGCAATATGAACACAACTGTGTGATTTACCGAGTCTGTACTCAATCATCTAAAGGAGGCATTTCTTCATAGTACTCAAATTTGGAGCTATTTAAGCACTAAAGCATCATTAATAGTTGATACAAATACGGTGACATGACACTAATTGCCACCTTGTCTAAGCCCGTCGGCACGAGCAAAAGTTAAACTCATCCACAAACCAAGAGAAACTTCTACTGATTTTCGAAATGGTGAACTGGCTTATCTTGAAGAAGACAAGCTGACCAATCAGAGGACAGGAGAGTATTGACCCGGAAGATGGATCATTTCCCAGCTAATCTGAAGATGATCTTTAATCTCTGACCCGGTATAATGCCTGATTTTATATTGTTGTCCAAATTTCAAGCAAACTCCACGATTTTCATGTGACCCGTTGATGTTAACCTAGTTTTCATGTGTTTATACATTTCGCCATAGCAGGCAGTGAAAGGTGCAGAATGCATATAACATGCCCGTCTTCTTCAGCCTTTACTAAAGAATAGCAACGGTCTACTTTCGACTTTGACTATCGCCACACATTGAAGTGACCTGCTTTGTGACTGTTGGTTGAGTCAGAGATTAAAGACCCTCAGTTTGAACCAGAACAGATTAGATATTTTAGCCTAGTGAACCATAATGAAATGTTTGACAAAAAAAAAACCATAATGAAGTGAAAGGATCTCGTTGTTTCAGATTTGATAGCAACTTCATTGGCCGTGGGAGGTTGCCATCCGGATGAAATATGTGCTCGAGGTCGACAATCCACTTTTCTAGAAGTATATGCAATGGCAGAGAGATAACTTTACGTTTAAGGGTGGGTGAAAAAACCAAAATTTACACTAAAATTTGGTAAGTAAAATTTAGGATCTAGGGAGCATCGGGCAGTCCGACACCGAGTACATGGCTTTGTGAATCATGGGATTAGAAATATATGGATTGACATAACATGAGAGGTATTCAGATCAAATGTGTGCTCTGCACCCACTTTATCTTTGGAAAATCATGACAACAGTTACATGTAAGACTGCTCCTGCATGACTGCTTTGAATAATCTTTTGGTTACCCACCCTTCAACATCAAACGTCTTTGGAATAACCTTCATTTCAATATGTTCACTTTAATATAGGAATTCTTTTTCTCTCTTACAAGTTTTTCATTCATGTCCATTTTGCTACAAGCCCAATACCAAATCAAACGAACATGAGCTGCTGTTTAGTACATGAACCATCTCTCCTACCAACTCAGAAACAACTCTACATAACTAAAATCATGAAGACCAAATGTAAGACTCTGAGACGGATGTCCAATTGGAACAAAGCTTAAAGTGTTAATCCGATACAACTTCATTCTTAATACCACCTTTGTCTCTGTATTTGACAACAAGCATCACCAGCCAAGTATTCTATCAATGGATGGAACAATTTTTTAGAATGACACATGACAACGGGTGACAATGAGTCAACAAGAGCGAGTCAAGTAAAGGAACTAGAAGAGCTCAAACTGTTGGATGAAATGATAAAAGAGTATTCTGGAAACACATTAAATAGCAATCCACTTGGAGGGGATATGGATGTTTTAGGAACATTTTCGTTCCTTTGGAATGTTTTGGTTGACAGTTTCATACATAATGCTACAAGGATCCATCATCAGAAAATACAGAAGTTGCAGTAAAAGCGTATGCAAAGGCAGAACAAAGCATAGAGGCCAAAATAAGAGAAAGAGAAGTGTACCAAGAACATCATCCTACATTTCATGGTGTGTGTGTTTGCTAAATAGCTGGTGAAGGAAATGGAGCTCTCTCAGCTTGATGGGGTCTACATATATGTTCTCTCCAGGGATTTTTGTTATACAGTTCAAATGATCATGTTACTACACATCTCTGGATTTGACGGTACTTAGTCCACCGGAAAAAGAAATGGAAACTATCGATGCTCATGATAAACAAATCACTTTTTTTACTTTTTCAAGGTAAAATTATCCTAAGAATGATAAATCACCTGAAAAGTAATAAAAGTGCATTGCCTCAAGCACAGAAATTCGCAGACACACTCTACCATATCACTCATCACATACGCTCAAATACTATTGCAAAAAATCTGAAGCCTACTGGGCCTCTTTGTGAATCAGCAATGGAGCAGGTGGGCTCATAATTTCATCCTTAGCTCGTGGAGAAGGTTCTTCTTTCACTACATTAAGCTTCCTATAAGGACTGCGGTTTCCGGTTGACAATCTGCTTGGACTTGGAGAATTACCTGCAGCATTCTTAGGTGAGCTAGAGATGTTACCAGCTGGGGAACCCGAACCAGATCTCAATTCAAACACTCTATCTTCATTAGGCAAGGGAGATATCGGCGCCTGCTCACCGTTGTCCCTTTCTTTTATGCAGAACTTCTCTTCCATAATATCATAAGAATTCCCGGTTCGTACTTCTTGAGCAAGAGAACACCAGCAGCAGCAAAGCCAGAGCGCACAATCAGTAATCGCCGGTTTGCCGCAACAGAACTTATAAGGCGGCAGATTATATCTTTTCCTCATTTGGATCCTCCAAAAGCCACCATAAAGTAAACCGAACAGACAAAGGATGACTCCAGTAACACTAAGTGCCTCCCTCACAGTATCATTACCAATATTAACAGCAGCCAAATTGAATATCCAGAAAGGGGCCATACAAAACAGAAGAAAAGTGGCAATGTGGACGTACATGTTACCAAACCCAAGTCTCTCCATGTTCCACCCGAAAACACAAAAGCTACAGAAGAGAGAGAGATATGCTAAAGAGATATCATCCCAAAAGTCGAGTATCCCTCCACTCCACTTTGGTCTGTTTTCAACAATTCTATGTTCATCTCTCAGTGCAAATGAATACCTCCTCTTAAATGCCCTCACACTCGACTTGTCTGGCTCCATCTTTTGATCATCGGTAATTTGAACCTGAGCTTCCTCATCATTTCCAGAATCATAATCTTTCCCGAGAGGACTGATGATGCAGTAAACACCAGCAAATGCAGGTGCAGCAATTGCAACTGATATGCATATGCCAACCCCTAAAGCTGGTCGTTCAGATCTCTTGTATCCTAAGTTCAGTCCGCAAAGTGCATATTGAGCAAAACAGTTAATATGGAGCAAAATGACAACCACCATCATATGTGCCCATTCATGGGGCTTATAAGTCCCGCTCTTGCAGTAAATTTTTCTCAATTTAGAAATGTCTTCTGGCCTCCATCTACACAAAAGTACTAGGTGGTAAAACCGCTTAGGATGATGATACAAACACATAAGAGTAAAGAGCGCGTTGAGAATTTGATTGTTAACTTCAAACCAAACATTCCTTTGGGACTTTTTGGGGATTGCGCTGTTGAGCATTCCTGTCATGACAAGAAACAAGATTGCACCGGACACGGCCACAATGGTGATCCACAAAAAAAGGGCCATGTTCATCGGGTCTCTGATCCATTCCTTGGACATTCTCATGAGTGAGCCCCAGTCAATCTTCCGACTGAACACCACATTGAAGCGTTCTCTGATCCTATGACCACTCGAAGATGAAGCTACAGAACGCGAAATCTCATCTCTTTCCTCAGCTATCCGCCTGAACCTGGCAGAAGCAGACCCGAATTTCAGGAACTTCCACCGATCGGGCAGAGCACTCAAGGAATTTGAAAATCCCTTCTCCGGGTTCTCACCACTCAACAGCATTCTTCGAGATACCGAGATATTAACAGAATTCGAGACCTTGATGCTTTTATCATTAGGCCCCTCGATTTCCTTCTTGTCATTTCCATCATCAGTTAGAACCATCTTGATGTAAAAACAGAAGCTTCCTCCAAAGTCTCTGGGTCACTACCTATGAAGTTACACAATATCTATTACAGTTACAGCCTGACAGGTACAAAGAGCTGAATATCATATATTGAGCTATGGCAAATGATCTGACAAATCATTGAATAGACAAGAATATTTCTACAGAAACAGCATAATCCTATCAAAAAGCTGCAAAACAATGGTCACAACTTTAGCTGGGAGACGAGGAAAAAGAGGATTTTTTCACTTGCCTGGCAACAATCACACCCACATCGACATCAAACAGAGAGAAGACTCGATTGCATTCCAACACCCAGAAACTGAAACCTTCGGAAACCAACGAGAGAAAAACCCAGAAAATCGCTTACAGCGTGTCGTCGTCCCTTTTACAGCGACAACCCAACCGAGATCGAAAGCAAAAGGAAAGGGCGAAAAGCTGGTGCTCCTGGCAAACGGTTGTTCACTTTGAGAGGAAGCATCTAGGCGAGAAGGAGAATATCATCTCAAGAAGGCTTGATATTTGAGAGGGTTTTCTCCCAGCGAGAATCTCATCTGTCCGGGTGAATTGGTCCACCATATCATGCCATTTTTGAGTTTGTGGGTCAGCCTGCAAGTGGATTCTGCAAAATGATGACCACGCCTGCCATTCGGTAACTGGTGAACAACTGCTAGTTGAAAACCCGAAAACCGCACAGGGAGGAAAAGAAGGAATAAAGTACAGAGCAGTGATAACGACAGAAATGGTATCCTGGACTTTGCCCGATTTATAAACTTTTGATTTATTTAATGGAGTCACTGATTTTTAGCTCAACGTGTAATGTGATATCTGAACATTTTATTTTACTTAATATAGTCCTTAGATTTTTTGTACATGTGAAAATATTCGATGATGTCCTTCTATTAATTCAAGTTTAGAGATAACATTGACATTTTCATATAGTTTAAAGACTAAATTGAATATGTACCAAAAATTCAGGGACTATATTGAATAAATAAAATATCCAGGGACCACATTGCACATTGAGCTATAATTCGGATATCACATTGAACAAATTAAAAGTTCAAAAATTACACTGCACGTTGGATCAAAGTTTGAGGGCTATTCGTGTCCTTTTCCTTTTTTTATGAAACGAGGTTTCTTTTGGCGAATAGCATCTGAAACGGTTGACTTCGAAGGAATTGGCAAAGTGTATCTGTTCACGCTAACTAGTGAAAAATTTACGGAAATCAATGAGCTGGCCTTGCGTAAGAATCTCTCTGTCTTCTGTCAATTGTTCCACCTGTGTATATGTTCTCAAATCTCTTTGTTCTCTGCTTCTGTTCCATGTTGGGTCAATCTTGTGTTTGATGCTCTGCTTTGTTCCCCTGGCTTCAATGTTAAAACTGGTGATAACTGTCATTGGTGGACAACGAGACATTTTCAATTTTCTGCTCGAGAAGATCCATGTGAGATTCGCATAGAATATGAGTTCCTCATACGGTTGGTAAATTGACTGTATCAAAAGCCATTATTTTAAGTGAATATGAACCATTCTTGTCCATAATGACTAGTTGTTACAAACTTATAAAATGTCCACATGCACAAGTGATGCGACTAATGGTTCTATAGTAATACAGCCTAATTGTAAGTTAAGTTGGAATGAGGGCAGGACAGGACCGTCGGCCATTCAATGAGCAAAGCAATCTAATCAACGACGCTCACAAAAGGCACTTTCTGAAAAGGCTTAAAGATGCTAACAAGCATGTGACCTTATTGGAAAAGGGATCGGGAGGTGAGGCCGAAGAGTACCAAGTCCAGAGTTCGATCACCGTGAGCACCGCAAGCGCGCACATATGTACATAGAAAACAGGAGTGAAGACCAAAAAAAAAAAAATTGGCTTAAATCGAAGAATTTCCCTCAAGAAGGATGAATCAAATGGACTCGTTTCCCTCTGAAACACAAAGTCGAAGCTCATTAGCATATGCACCCAAGAACGGAATTGTGGATCCCAAACCTCCTTGTTATAGAGATTAACTTTTCCTAACTACAACAATAACCATCCAAAAATCACACACTTTGCTTCCTTCTATGAACCAAACATAACTGTTATATCTTCTTTGTTAAGTATTATAAATTCCTTTACTGGGCCACACAACCCGCTTTGAAATAAAATATGGGAAACTGAATTCGAAGCTAAACCGGGTCTATGGTTTTTAAACAAGGTCGAGTGCTCTTAGTCCACCTTCCTCCGAGCAATGTCGAGAATATACTGGTTCAAACGTTGGCCAAATATCGTTGTGGAGAATGACTCTGTGACATGCTTCCGAGCTGCTTCACCCATTCTCTCTGCCACTTGAGGGTTCTCTAATAGCTTAGCCATAGCTAAAGAGAACTCTTGTGGGTTGGGATCGCAAAGAAATCCCGTTTCTTCATGCTTAACCGTCTCCACAGGTCCCCCACTATTGCACGCAATTACAGGCTTATGAGCTGCCATTGCCTCCAAAGGGACAATTCCAAAATGTTCATCCTGCAAATTTGCCCCATTATGTCAGTATGACAAAATGTAACATTTGTTTCAAATATGGTGCTATTTGTGTAAATGCCAAATTTTCTATTTAACCTTCGGCGTGTAGAGGACACAAAGGCATTCGGAAAGGAGTTCGTTCCTCTTGGCTGTTGAGCAGGATGTGATAAAGTGAACCCTGCTCGAAATTCCTTCCCTTTCTGCTAAGCTTTTAAGCTCCTCCAAGTACTCCACATTCTCCCTTAGACGTTTATCAAAACCACCTAATACAATATATAAACTTAAACTTACTCCGCAATACACAAGAAATTAAATCTAGTAGGCAAGCAATAATGCGGAGTTGTCTACTACTACTTAAGATAAATTACCGATGCACAATGTACAAAAATTGAACAGTCATATAAATCTCTTCACCGCATGGCATAGGAAGAAAAGTCAGCTTGCTCGAGATGGATATCTTAGTACCAGATGGATCGCTTAATCATGTTGAGTCAAAAGATAGTCCACATTGCACTGCTTCATTTGCATGCTAACTTGACAAAGAGCTACATACTAATCAATCTCAATTAATCAAAACATTCAGGAGTTATGATCTTCTCTATCTTTACATTGTCAATCAGACTTTTTTTGGTTTTAACAGAACTCTGCCTTCCACATTATTCAACATAGACCTCTAAGATATCAAAATCCATCATCTATCTCTTCAACAGTTCGGTCTTTCTTTTGAATTCCCTGGCTACTCTCATGCTACTTATCAGGAACAGCAGAACCAAAACTCTCCTTGTGTCCAATTACCAATACCATTACTTCCCGATATTCTACAACAATGTACAAATGCTTTGTCGTCAATCAAGTATCTTTGTCTAAAAATTCCTTACAAATTCCAAAACTTTCCATCCACAAGATTCCTATTCCTGAAGAAAAAAATTTTCATCCACAGATTCATACTCCTGAATAAAGACTTCAGCGAAGACATAAGATTAAGGTGTTTTCCTTGAACACAATGTATCACCCACTTAAATTACAAGCGGACCGTGGGAGCATGGGAGGGGGATGTAAACTCTGTTAGTTGGGATAAGACGAAACAACAAGAAGTTCAACTGCACCATGCTGTTAAATCTATCCCTCACGATATCAACTCTAAAAACCGGGAATCCTTTAAAAGATATTTTGAATTGCTAAAATGATTGAATGACATACAACTAGAGAAAAGGAAAAGGCACATATCAGAATAGCAAGAGAATAGAGGTTTTCAATTGCACAAGCTAAGTGATTTACAGCACTCTAACATAAACAAAAGTATATGTAAATTATAGAAAATCTTGGTAAGAAATATGCAAAGATTCATGACTTGCCTGCAATAGTCAACGTAGCACCGTCCACATTGTGACTGGAAAATTCTCCTCTGAGGTTATAGAGCCTAGCAAAAGCTGAAATCGCCAAGTCTATGTTCTTTTTCCTCTCAAAACGATTGATGGACAGGTAACTCAGCCTAAAGTACAGGAAGTATAAAAAATATCGTCAGCATTATAGGAAACAAGTGAGCCTGGTATGTGAAGGTCTTAAGGCGTATTTCTGTTACTTAAGAGAACGGGGTTTGTCAAACTGATCAACACTGACTGCTGGGTAAAGAACAGCTGGCTTAATTCCTCGTGCATCAAGCTGCTTGAATGTTTTCGCAAAAGTAGCAGCTGTAAATTTACTGTTGACGAGGATCATATCTGCCATTCCTGCATTCCCGCAACCATACTGATGTGAAATTTGGAGACTTCATCTATAAAACAGCCTATGGCCCAAAGAAAAAAAAAAAAAAAACCACGCGAGTGCACGCACACAAAACAGCCATTAAAGAAGGCAGCATTAGAACAAACCTGTTGTTATTTCTTCGATGAAATCTATGGGTTTCCTGTAAATCTTCCTAAGAATAGTAGTGCGTTGGGCAAGCAACAAATCCGGAAAATGGCAATAGAATACGACCTGAATCAGAACGGGGAATTAAACTATAACCATGATAGGAAGATATCCATTGTTATATGGTAGAGAAGATATAGATACCTTTGTTGGCTTTTTAAGTTTCAACAGTGGAATGACAGCAGAAACTTGATCTGCTACAATAATGTCGTATGAAGGCCACATAAGCAGCATGCAAAGAGCAACAAATATGCACCTCACATATGCACATACGGCATGGAGACGGTAGAAGATGTGTCGAGGCAGAAAAGCACCATACACAGTAACAGGAAAGGCACCTGCATATTTGCATTGGCCGTATGCTCAGAGCTGAGATGGTGAAATACGACTAGAATAGGCAATAGAATAAAACAACTAGATAATTTAGAGAAGCTAATGAAGACCTTCCTAATTTTGAGAGCTTGTACTTATTTAAGAAAGTGGCTCACATGGAGAAAAAGTTTATATGCTGAAATATGAAACTCTGAATGAGTGTTAGTAGCTAAGTGAACAGTTGAAAGGAAAGGGAGCTCCAATCATGTACAACATTTCAAGCCAAAAAAAAAGAAACTACAAGGTCCGAATTCACTAAGAGAACAAGTTGTTATCAGCAGAAAGAAAGAGGAGGAAGGTATAGAAGACAAACCGGAAAGAGTCTCCTCAAAACATCTAGTTCTATCATGGTGTGAGGTGAAAACATGAACATCATGCCCATGAGATACCAGCTCAACAGCCGCATCAACAATTAATCTTTCGGCTCCACCTACACATCATACAAGGTATCCGTATGTAAACAGATGGAAGATGTGGCAACAGCCAATAAATATTCAAGCATACTATCAATAGCAATAATGATGAACACTGTGGCCTTAAATGGTGGTACGAGAGGAGGAGCATACATGAGAAATGATAAATTTAACCAACTCCCCAGATTTCTTGCACTAAGATTTTTAAGTGTTTCTTCATATCATTTAAATATAACAAGTCAGTTATCAAAGTAGTTATAATTTCCTTCTACAAGAACATCCAAGTGCTTACTACCGAGTCCACAAACCAAAGGAACTATGGCATTATCCTAATCTCCCAAGATTCTACTGTTAAAATGAAGCATTCTAATGAGGATATTATCATTGAAGCCTCCTATACTTTAAATGTCATTGTGAAACGTGAAACTCCTCCTATATTCAGTTTTAGGAACTATAACAATTCCCATGACTCCACCATCAATGAGCCTCCAACCTTTAAAGTCTAACAAACATTTTTCAGACAACTTCCACATAACCATAAACCCATTTCAACTAGAACTACATAACGAGCTTAAATTTGATCAACCAATGAAGTTTAAACTTCTTGGTGACTTCTTTCATTTGACTAAGCTTGGCCAGGCCTGGCCCATGATTTAAGCCTGAAACTCGATCAAATGCAACCTTCAAGTCAGACACAACATGGCCACCCACCAGAGATTCTAGCACTAGCCAGAATGAGTGGAACAGCAATTAAAAAAATACAAGAATCTTCACCAGAATAAACTTAGAAGAACTGAGCTCCATTTTGACTGTTCGTTCAAAATGTGCAAAGAGAACTGTAGCTAAGCCAAAGAGATTTGTGATGTCAATGCACAACTAATGCAGGCAAAAAGATTTCTCAAGTCCCCAAATTGAGAAAAAAAAATACTAAAAACAAACCCACATGAAACTTAATCTCTTCTCTTCCATGGGAAAGCCTTCTACACCACTGAGATTGTCAATAAAAAGTAAGATAACTTTAACCACATTTTACCGCAACGATAGCAACGGTAGGCAACTCACCTATACCAAGATCGGGATGTATAATGGCTATCTTCATCTTCTTTTGACTTCCTTTTGCCTGCACCTTGTCCTCCCTCGATATTTTTTTACATCGATCAACAAACTCTTCCTCTAATGGCAAATCACAGAAAACGAACCATACAGTTGCCAATCGTCAGCAACCCTTTAAGTCCCGAATCTTGAACATGGTTCTCCACAGCCAACCATGGTCCCTAGGCCTGCAATGAGGTAAAGGTTGTTTTTTGGTAAGGAATGAGGTAAAGGTTGTTGATGTACCAATGTCATGAGAAAAAAAAAACGGCCCGAATAAGGAACCAGTCCCTAGGCCGATCAAGATTCCACCGAAATTGCGAAGAGAGAGACCGAGGAACTTCTGGAGTTGCTTGCAACCACCCAGAATTCCAATTCAGATTAAAAAAACGAAAAAAACCCGAATCGACCACCCAAGCACAAATCAAGAAGGCCATAGCCATCAGCATATGCCGAACCGCACCAAAGGTGTTGCCTTTAACCAAGAACTTAGATTCCGGCGTGTCGGGCATTGTACCGAACACGTTGGGTGCATTACAAACTCCAGCAGGGAACCGCGGTAATCGATCGGCGCAAATACTCCGAACGGGACTAGATGCGTGTCTAACTCAATCAGTCACCATGATCGAAGGGAATAGGAGGAAAGAAAACCGAAAAATCCAGACAGAGAGCGCTCACCGGAATCCTGGCCGGCGCCCGGCAAATGACTGAGTCGACGGAGATGGAGACGACCGGCGGAAGTCTGGTCTGATCTTAAACAGGGAGAGAGGAAGAGGAAGGCGAGAGAGAGTCACGAACTGAGACGGCTTTCTTTTCGGTGTTTAATTTTGCAAAGAAATATCAGCTTATTCCTTACTTCGTGAAAATACCCAAAAAGAAAAAAAAAACAAATATCAATTTTCATTTTCAGTCAATATAAAAATGAAAACAGTCTTTGGTTTTTTTTTTTTAAATCAATGCAAAGAAAAAATTAAAAGACAATATTCAGTCGAGTGTTTCGAAATTAAAAGATTAAAAAGTATGCGGTTAACTTCACTCGACACAATAAATTTACGATGTAATTAACTTATTTTCACGTGGAAATGATTTGTCACGCGTGATAAAATAAAATTTAGTTTGCTCATACTAAACCGTCAATCATACGATCAATTTGGGTTTTAGGTTTAGAAATCAAAATTGAGTAATTGACCACCTTAAATAGAACCAAACCCGTGATTCTGCTTCTCCTTTTATTTGATCAATTGATTCGAACAGGAGGCTTTGCTCACAATAGGCTCCTAATCCTATACGTTTTGAGAGGGTTGGTCGGGGTTAAATTATTTAATCATTAATGCTTCATTTGTTTCGCGTAAAATAAATAATTTGAAAATTATTTTTTTTAAATGATCACATGAAGTAATAATCGATGAAAAATATTTTCATTATCGACAATAATATATGTTTAAATATTTTCGTGAACGATGAAAATATTTCTCGTTTATTTATTTTTGTAAGCGATATAAGCAGTCATTTTTAGGAAAATATTTTTCAAATTATTCATTTTCCAGCGAAATAACCATATCATTAATCTCGTGACTTTGGACAATATATGAAATTTACACTATTATTTGAGATACCCGATGCATACATAGGAATAGTTTATTTTGATAGCATCCACTCATTTTATGTACGAGACCCATCAAATTCAATAATTCGGACGAATCAATATGAGTGCATTCGATTCACCTAATAGTTTTTTCCTCATTGCCCATGGCCCAATCTTGGACTTTGCTCTAGAGTCATAAATATTCGTGCGATCGATTTGTTTAGTTACTCATTGTCCTAGGAAAGCCTCCTAGGTTAACTCGCATTAACCTCACTTACAAGACATAAGATTAAAGCCACGGCAAGTATTATTTATACTAAATGGTGTGTACGTTGTCATTAACCTGCTCCTATTGCATATACATGTTTATTTCTTAACCATCAAGACCACCCAATTAGAAGATTAATCAAGTTAAAAGACCAGGCACACAACCTAGTGCTAAGGGATTGGATGAGGCGAGAACGTTTAGTTTCAGGTGTCAGGTTCGACTCCTACGCAAAGAGGTAGTGCAAAAAGACAAAAAAAAAGAAGTTAAAAGAGTAGTTATGGCCAAAGCAAAAAAGTTAAAAGATAAGTTATCCAGTAAATAGAGCTGTCAAATGGGTGAACTGGGTTGGGTCGGGTTAGTTTTGGATTGGATCAGAATGGGTCCAACTCAAATTAACTCGTTTAACTCGTTTTGATCAATTTATATATAATACAAATTCAGAGACCAACACTTGACTCTGCCTGTATCTAACTCATATCCGTCTCAACCCACATTACTAAAACATATAGATATTTAAAAACAAGAACTTTTACGCATGAAGTGTACAAACTATAAAATTTTTAGTAGTTTTATAAGGTTCCACTTCCAAATAAGATTTCTGACTTGTCTTTATTGCAAAATTTTTCGAATTTCACAACGAATTATTTGACATCTCTTAAAATCGATAAGTCAATAAATATTGACCCGTAAAATCAAATACTAATTCTCAAGATTTTTCTAAAGCTTAAAATATCATAAATCTTTTACTAATTTACAATTTTGAAAAAAAGAAGAAGATCACAAGTAGAAAATAAAACTAGAAAATAAGTTGTCACTCCCGAAAACCCGAAGACAAGTGAATGAGGAATCGCAGGTGGGTCGGGCTTTAGACCCATTAAAAACCCACATTTTATTGGACTTTATTACTCAAATCCGTATCGACCCATTTATCAAATTTTACCTAATCCATATACGACCCAACCCATGATATATCGATTAGTAAATGGGGTCTTCACCCATTTCAACACCTCCACTGGTAATTCTCAAATCGCTCGTAAAATTTAGAGTTGACGAATTTTCACCATTGAAAAGAATATACGCACAACACGCCTAACGCACGACCCGATTCAATAAAACGAAAGCGAAACATGCGTTTAATTGTAATTTCAACACCTCCACTAGTAAATCTCAAATCGCTCGTAAAAAAATTTAGAGCTGAGGAATTTTCGCCCATGAAAAGAATACGCGCACGACACGCCCAACGCACGACCCGATTCAATAAAACGAAAGCGAAACGTGCGTTTAATTGTAAATTCAACACCTTCACCGGTAAATCTCAAATCGCTCGTAAAAAATTCAGAGCTGACAAATTTTGGCCCCTGGGGAAAGAACACGTGCGCGGCACGACTAACGCGGGGCCCGATTCGATAAAAGCGAAAGCGAAACACGCGTTTACCCCCGTCCTTTCAGATTCGCGATCGACATGATCCCAGCGTCGCAAGGAAGGAAGGACGTAATCAATCAGAGAGACCAGAAAAATCGTTCAATGGTCAATTAAAGCGGAGCCAAATGCAACCGCTGAAATGAATGACGAAACCGAGAAAGAAGGGTAATCGAAAAAACAATAATAATAATAATAAATTCGCAAGTTGAGTTCCGACTAGAAGAATAAAATGTGCGGATCGAAACTGCAACGCACGCTAGAATCGACAAGTAACTCTTGTTCTTCGGAGCTGACCAAAAAAAAAAAAACTCTTGTTCTTCGGTCATAGGGAATTGGAAAAAAAATAAAATAAATAAATTAATTAAATAATTTAAAAAAATGTGACAAGTTTTTCGGACAAAGATCAAGTTTTTTTTCCTCTACTTCGCCCCCCTTCCTTCGTCGCGGTCCGAGACCGAGTCAACGGGGGGGGCCTGTTACGTGCTCGCCAGTCCCCGCACGGTGCCGCGCGGGCATCGGCGCCCCGAGATCGCGCCACGTGTATCGATCCGACGGCCGGGGATCGGGGCCTCCCTTCACAGCCGGGCCAGCCTCCCACTCCACCCCCCGGTCTCCATTGGCAATCTGTTCCCACTTTCTCTCTCCTCCCTCTGTCCTTCCCTCCCTCCTCTTTTCTCTCTCTAGACGACGCGCACGAAAGAGACCCTCACTGTGCTTTCTCTCTCTTCTCCCTCTTCCTCCTCTTCCTTTTTTGCGCTTTTTTTTTTTTTTTTTGTCTTCTTCTTCTTCCCTCTCCCTCCCTTTGATGAGAGCCAGGAGGAGGAGGATCGCGAGCGAGCGATGTCTCTGAGGCGAGCGTTCCTCTCGCGGAAGTTCTCCAGATCCTTCAAGGAGCTCAACGGCAAGCCCCCCCGGGAGGAGTCCGCGGCGGCGGCGGCGGAGGGGGGACGAGGCGGCGGCGGCGGCGGGGAGGCGGAGGCCGCGCACGGCGAGTCATGGGGGACAATGCTGCCGGAGCTCCTGGGGGAGATCATACGGCGCGTGGAGGAGAGCGAGGGCCGGTGGCCCCAGCGCCAGAACGTCGTCGCCTGCGCGTGCGTCTGCAAGCGGTGGAGGGACATCACGAGGGAGATCGTTAGGTCCCCGCTCCACAGTGGCCAAATCACTTTCCCTTCCTGTCTCAAGCAGGTTCCGTTTCTCTCTCCGATTGCGCGCGGCGAAATTCGGAGGCCGCATTTCTTCCGATGTTTGCGCCCTCGTTGTCGAGGGAATTGAATTGATTGGTGCTTTGGCTCGTTTTCTTTTCTATGTCGACGGAGATTCATGAAGCTCTTTGTGTTCGTGGGGCTATTGTCCCGTGTGGATAATATAGCTCAATTTGACCAATTCGTGAAGATCTAATTTTAAAGTTAGGGTTCAATCTCGTTGCTGATGTCTGAACATTTGATGCATCATGTACTGGGCATTAATTAGAGGGAATGGACTCATTTCTGAAGGTCATATGTATCTGCGGGCGAAAAGTTATAGATGGGAACGATGATTTGGATTTATCCTTTTCCCGAAATGGAAGTGAGGGCTTCACTTTGATGGTTTTCGTAGGGAAAATGAATGCTGCCGCCGGGAGTTTTCGGTGTGTATATATTCACCATAGGAGCATGAAACTGTTCTCTCTTCTTCATTACATCCTACAATATTTTTCCAAAATCACCATATAATCGTGTTATCGGTGACATTCTTGATGATATTTCAGTACTCTTTTTTTCATTTGGGGAGAGGGAGGGGGGGGGGGGGGGGGGTTGGGAAACCTTGCACATCGTTTGTTGTAGGGCAATCATCCAGCCGGTGAATTATAGTCTACACTACTTTAACTTTTGTGGTAAGTGCAGCAAGTGGCAAAAGGCACCTTTAATTCTGTTAATAAAAAGAAAAAAAATAGTTCAGTTTGAATTGTGTAAAGTATGGTTCCGCCTATGGAAACATCGCATTAGCGACCTAACAAATGAAGGATGATAACCTTGCGTCTCTAACACTGTTGTCTGATCATTGTTTTGAAGTATGAATCTTGGTGGCTGAGTTGCTGTTCTATAAATTTAACTTCCTCACACTTGAAGTCTTTGCTTTTTTTTTTTTGGTCGAAGTCTTTCTTGAATGATTGGAATTTCTTCTTTGGACATTCCAAATATTGCATGTTTGTTGATGGTTATTTTTCTAAATGTAGCCGGGACCACGAGATTCTGCACATCAATGCCTTATAAAGCGGGACAAGAAGACTTCGACTTTCTACCTTTATCTCACCCTCAGCCCACGTGAGTTAATATTTACGGTTGATTTTTCTTTTCCTACTACATAGAATCGTTATGGATGGTTCTCATTGATACTTAGTTTTATTTTCTTTGTTTTGGTCTAGGCGAGGTTTATTCCTATTTTTCTATCCGCTTCAATTTTTTTGGCTTTATTACTCGCATCAAGTGCGCTAGAGCAAGAGTTTGCAGAGCCAATGTCTGTTAAACCTTCAATAGACTTTTCATCCGAGTTGATCCAAGCTTAGGAGGTTGCATGATCTCCTTTGGCTCAGAAAACTTAGTTAATTTTGGCTTGGTATACTTGTAACAACTCTGCTCCTTTTTTAAATTCCAGCGTATTTAGAATGAAACTTCTTCAATGTAGTGGTCTTTTACTGATTTTGACTTCTTTTTTTTTTTTTTTTTGAAAGAGAGTCATACTTGGAGGCATGTATGATGATTTTTTATTAGCTTGTCAATTGCTCAACAGTTTCAGACTAATCAAATTGAATGAAAGTTCAGTTGATGCTTATTATAGACTAGATGCCTGCTCTTTCTTGTGCCTGGCATGCCAGCTTGGAGGAGTAATGGAACATGTATCTGCAAGAATGTCATTTCACATGGATCTGGGATCAAGGAATCATATCGAGATGTTAGTAGTGGTCGAGAGAGCTTAATGTTGCATGTACATGTTCCATATCGAGATGCCCTGGATCATGCAACGATGTTCTTGGTCCCCTTTTCCCCCTCTCGCATAGTTTGTTTCGAGGGGATAACATAGCTGGAATTGAGATCTATTTGTGGTTCTAGTGGACTCAAATCGTGGTAAGGAAAATGGATCTAAAAATACATTGTTTGAGATCAGTCTTTTTCTTTCTTCTTTTAGTTCATCTTTAGGGGGCATATCAGGGCTTTCGTGGAGATCGTTAGTAGTTCTGAGGAGGACTCATGTTGTGGAAGGAAAATTTATTGAAACCTTGATGGATTGAAGGTTGCTTCGTTGAAAGTAGATGTAAGTAGGAGTTGAACATCTGTTGTTACTTACTGTTAGTATAAGTGAAGGGGACTTCTACTCCATCTCTTGGCTCATCCACTAATATTAGTTCCTTGAATGAAGATATTAAGTTCTACTTTTGGTTTGATCATTTGACTGGTGAAAAGGATTTGGATTGATGTCAGACTCGGTAAGGTTAGAGATTTCGATGAATACATTAAAGGCTGACCCAGTGCTCCTTTTGATATGATGGCCTTCTCGAATACCATGTTCCTATAGACTTGAAATTCTCTTGGCATAAATGGTTTGCCTATGATTGACATTTTCTTACTCCCTTATTCTTCAGCAATGCCAGACGAGGGAAAGTTTCTTTTAGCGGCTCGAAGATATAGGCATGGTGCTCACACCGAATACATTATCTCTCTAGACGCTGATGATTTATCCCAAGGAAGCAATGCTTATGTTGGAAAGTTAAGGTAAGGCTACTTGAACAGGATCTTGTTTTTGTGAATTTGCTCAAAATTTTTTTACTGGATCTTGTTTTTGGGCGCAATACTACCATGTCTCTGGAGTTTCTAGGATGGAGTATCTTTACATGTCTACCTACTTAGCCATTTATTTTATACAGTCCTGTCATACAGGAAGTATGGAGAAACTTGGAGGTGCTTATTATTTTCAAAGATTGAAATTGATCTTTTATCTTTGATCTGCCAGAGGCTTTTTACTGCTTCTAGAAGCCTGTCATGCAGGACTTGGGTTTAATCAATATTCATTTGTTTACGAGCATGTTTAATTGTTTACTTCACTTGACAAAGAGAATATGGTTTTATTGTAGTTGTAATCAATGAAAATCTAACTTATTCCTTTCACATATCTCCATGGCCTTTTTAAAAGAAAAGGTGAAAAGTTACATGTTAATCGATGGTTTTGTTTAAGATTTTGTGCTTGTTGCAGCTCGGACTTCCTTGGTACCAACTTTACAATATATGACAGCCAACAGCCACACGACGGTGCAAAGCCCTCAAGCAGCCGGGCAAGCCGCCGATTTGCAAGCAAACAAATAAGTCCCCAGGTCCCAGCTGGCAACTTTGAGGTCGGGCAGGTCTCTTACAAGTTCAACCTTTTGAAATCTAGAGGTCCAAGAAGGATGGTTTGCTCGCTGAAGTGCCCTGTGTCAGGAGAAGCACCTACCGATAAACAGATGGATAATGCCAAGACGAAGAAATTAGGACCTATCAACCCTGAGTACACAATTTTGAGGAATAAAGCCCCAAGGTGGCATGAGCACATGCAGTGCTGGTGCCTGAACTTCCATGGTCGTGTGACTGTGGCTTCCGTAAAAAATTTCCAACTTGTTGCCATAATGGATCAAAGCCAGCCGGGAGGGAAAGGGGACGAGGATACTGTTCTTCTCCAGTTTGGGAAAGTGGGGGATGATACTTTTACCATGGATTATCGGCAGCCCTTGTCAGCCTTCCAGGCATTCGCCGTCTGCCTTACCAGCTTTGGCACAAAAATCGCATGCGAGTAATTGTAGTTTTGCTACATATAATGTTTGTCGTCATCGCTGTTGTTTTGTATAATTATGCACTTTTGTGTTGGTATAAACATGGTATAACCTATGTTTGCTCCAAGACATATGTACATGTTCTATGAAAAACGAACCAACCGGCTAATGTCTACTAACTACAGATGTGGGTTTCAGCAAAAATTGTGTCCTGGAATGCTTGGGCTGGTAAAAAAGTATCGATGCTAGAGGAACTGTTGGTTGCTGCAATTAAGCTGGTCCTCATATTCTATAATGTTTTCTGACTTCGTGTTTGTGACGGTGGAAGAAGTCGTACTCCAATTATGTCACATGAGAATGAGTGGAGGAGAAGATGACCGAGAACGTTCGCGGTATTTTCCCCTAAATGTGGCCTAGTCGTACTCCGTCCGCCTGCTACGAATTGACATGTTACTGGGAACATTTGCAGTTAAGATGCTTCCCAGAACGTGATGAATGAAAGATAATTTTTCCCGGTAAACTCGACTCTTGCCATCCTTCCGATTCTCGGACTGATACGCAACAGAATATTCATATGAAATACCAAACAGTCGATGATGCCGGACATTTCCATCCTAGATCACTCACAATGGCACATCCATTATGGGTAATTCGTGACTGCATCACAAAATGCACGCTTACTTGGTCCAGCGTCCATGAAAGAATGGTTTTTAATTTCGACCCATACAAAGACCATCGAGTCTCTTCCCGCTATCCAGGTTTGAGCTCATGCATATTCTTCCGTACATGTGCTTAGCAATATATATAGCTGAAAACACCGCCTACTACTCCCATAAGAATGCACGAGTAAGAAGAAGATATATTCCTCTCCATGAATAAGACATTTACATCAGGATTATTTGTATTTTTGCTCCCATTCTACGAGATGCTGCTCGATGCATCACGGAACATTACAAGCTAAGGTCCCACTTCATGCATGAGATTTGCTTTCCTCGTGACGAGAGACTACAGATGGGGCACATTATTCACTTTTGAGTGTTCTTTCGAGTGGAGAGCAGTAGCCACTGAGAAAGTTTAGGCAATATGATAAACTGTGATCGGGGTAGGTAATCAACATTGCATTCAGCAAATCAGTTGAAAGAGCAATCGGTTCTCACAGATAGCCATTGCAGAGGTACACAAAGGTTCTTATACACACCACTATCCCAAGACTCGTAAACGAAGACGCTGAAACAGAAACAGCATTTTGTTCCCACTTCCAACTGCAAGATGATGATTCTCACTTCTTTCCTCGCAGCTTCACACCAAGGGCTCTTTCAAGTTTGGTGATTAGCTGTTGATTAGGAATTGCTTTTCCTGATTCATATTCTTGAATGATCTGGGGCTTTTCATTGATCAGCTGCATTGCAATTCATGCAAAAGTGTCAGCTGGATAAGTTTAAGAAAACAAGGGCGCATTCGTTTGCATATATGCACCCCCCCAATTGTCATTTGGCCCCAGAGAAACACAAGTGTCCTCTGCCAAGTTCAATAGATAAAGAAAAAAAAGGAAGTGAAATAGACACCTGAGCAAGTTGGGACTGGGTAAGCTTCTTGTCCATTCGAGCTTGCATAATAGCCTTCTTCAGCTCAGTCGGCACGCGATCATCTACCAACCAAATATCATATGTCTCAGTCAAGGCAAGTTCAACAAACAATCTTTTATAATGTGGAGGCAAATTGTACGAGAGCAAGCACAAAGGAATGAACAAATGAACTAAAGCAACACTTCCGGCTGCATCAGCAGTCCGAAACAAAGTACCAATTGATTCCCACGCCATAACATGGAGAAATCGAACAAATCTAAATGTAAGGAAGTTGCAAGGAATTGTGCTCCACAAAAACTCCAAATTTCTAGCAAGAGAAAAGTGCACTGAGATGCACCACTCAATAATTCAAAAGAAAAGCCACTTACGAGCAAGGTTTTCTGTTTCTTCATCAAGCTTCCTTGTGTTCAAAGTAGTACTGCTAGAAGCAGCTCTGTTTGAGCCGGCATTTGCTGCAGACCATTAAAGGAATTTCTTAGCAATTAAAGTTCGTTAATTAAACTGTCAATGCTCCATGTCTTTAAATAAAAATGACAGCCCAAGGCCACATTCATCTTCTACATGCATTACCATGCCTACCAGTAAGAACACTCAATATTTCTCGATCAACTTAATTAAGCAGCATCAATTTTACACAGGAAAGTTTTCAGCAAAAATTTTTTTACATGATTAAGAGGATGTACATTCCTCAATGTTGTTTTGAACAATTTAATCCAACCAGCTTCACTAGTCTTAACATATCTAAAAAACAACTCACCTATAGATGTACAACATCAGCAAAACTTTGACATACGCAACAAGTTAATCGTGCCAATAGGCTTTGGGAGTTCATCAACAGTCCACACCAAAAATCAAATCATGCAAGATAGCAGCTGTTATGTCAGATAAGTTGTACTTAAAGATGTGAGCAGTGAAGGACAAGGAATGTTACAACCAAAATAATCATTCCATACTAGTATAGGAAACAACACAAAAGCGCCATACAAGAGTATGAGTGCTTTGGCTCAAACAAAGACGCATATACACACGTCTAGTGCACTACAAGAGCTTCGATGTGGTGAGAAAAGAGGGGATAAATTAAGAACTTCTCTGCGAGCAAAGCTTCACTTTGCCAGGCCTGATGATTAAATGCTTAATTGCCTCAGGTGGTGCCACCACCAAACTAAAATTAAAATCAGCTCTGAAGTCTGAATTATAAATTTGTTTGGCAGCAGATGATGGCACAATAAAACAGTGACAAATTTAGCTTCGTTTGGCTCGTCTCTTTTCTCTTCTCTCCTTCCTTAAAAAATCGAATAAACGACTAAAAAGCAACTTCAGATCAACCCAACTGACTCAGAAGATAAACTCAGCCAGCATATCTTCTGCATGTGGTTGACAGTTATATAAACTCACCCTCTTTCTCCACCAAAAAAAGAGACGACTGTTCTTCTGCACACACATAACTCCTAAAGTTCGCCACATGTTGGATTCAATACGCAGATCTCCCTGATATGCACACAAATCATACAAAAGATGGGAGAGACAGTATATACAGGAGTGAAGATGGGTTTTTGGGAACTTAAGACATGACAGAGCTCTCTAATTGGCCCCATCAATGTGGAAATGGTCGATTGTTTGTGACTAGCAGTAGATATGCTGCCTCCTGGGGGAGAATTTGATTGGTACAGTAGCTTATGAACGGTGACAAACACAGCAAATTTAGACAGAGGAAAATAAAATTCGCAATAAGAGCAGAATTCTATTGAAATTGACAGCTAACAAACATAATTCTTTAGAGTGGGATCAGAGGGAAGGGCAGAGATACAAAGTGAAAAGAGGTAAAGGAGACCTCTTGAGAATATATGTTAAGCGAGAGTCTCTAATGCGCCACCATCATAAAGAACACCAATCTTATAATTAAAACAACAATGCGATGAGAAGACAACCTCAAGAGAAAAACATCTTAAGAAAGCTAAAGGACACAGACAGATAATAAAAGATTAAAGTATTCGTTCTTAAAAGTTGCAAGAAAGAGGCGTGTTACCAAATCCAAAGGGAAAAGGAATAGATCCAAATCAATTAAGCTCCTTGAAGGATATTTACAGTTCAGGTAAACAGAAAACATGTCCGACCTTGCAGCTCATCGGTAAATACAAACTAACTTTGAATGCTAAACAAGGTTCTTCCAAATCATTAAAAAGCATCTCCAATATCAAGCGAATCAGAGAACGTAGCCCTAGTCATCCCGATTTAAGTCAATAGCTCCTACGCACGGACGCGGTGATCGGCAACACAATTTTTTGGAGCCCAGCAGCATACGAAGTTTCAGCGATGAACTCGACGAATCTATGTACCGACACGTCAAGAAACCTCACGATTCCTCCATCATCGGGCCACAAGAAACAGAACTGCAAGAGGCGAAACCAAACCAAAGCACGCAACGATACGACCGTGCAATCGAAAGAGAGAACTAATCAAGCATCGCAATTTCAGCGACAAACTCGACGAATCTATTTACCGACACAGCAAGACAACTCAAACAACGCGCGACGTGACCTCACGATTCCTCCATCATCGGACCACAAGAAACAGAACCGCAAAGAGGCGCAACCAAACCAAAGCACGGAACGATGCCGACCGTGCAATCGAAAGAGAGAACCAATCAAAGCATCGCCGCCACAAAATGGCGAGGGGGAGGGAGGGGGGGAGGGGGCGCGCGCGGTGAAACGGCGTACCTTTCCGGACGGTCTCGATCTCGGCGCCGGCGCGGCGGGCGGCGTTGACGGCCTTCTCGTCCTTCTTGGCGGCGGCGTTGGGGGCCTTCTTCCGGATGACCACCGGCTCCCAGTCCTGCGAGATCGGTCCTACACCGGCCATCTCTCTCTCTCTCTCTTCGCTTTCTCTCTCTACTTTCTCTCTCTTCTCTCTCTCTCTCTCTCTCTCTCTCTAGGAATGGATAATCGCGCTATACTGACGAGGAGCCGCCCTCCGCCGGGCAAAATGATGGTTTATATAGGCCAAGGGGGGATGCTGCGATTTTAGGGCCTTTGCTAGTCCGCGCTCACGGAAACCGTGCCGTGAAGTTTGTAGCCGTTGGATCACGGTCTTTCCAATCGCATCCGTTCATCTTTCGTGTTTGATATTTGTTGCCACAGATGCTGATCGTTGCATCCCTACATCTGTAGCATTGAGTCAAAACGCCTTAGATATTCAAAATTTATTAATATCGATAGCATTGAGTCACCATGTATTTTTCATAACTCTTTTTAAAAAAACCGGGATAATGTTTTTTTATAAAAAAGAAAAATACTTAGACATGGAAATTTTTAAAGCGGCTTTTGTCATAATAAATGCGAAGCCCATGAATTTTGGGCCGAGGCCCGAAGCCGTATGGCGAAGCCCATGAGTTTTCTATCTCCTCCGAGAGAAAGCGTCTCGCTCCACCTCGTTGCAGTCGTGGGGAAGAGCGGAAGTCAGCACACACGCTCTCTCTCTCTCGCTCGCGCAGGGAAGCTCGTATCCCTTCCCTCGTTCCAGTTTCTTCATGAGGATCGCAACAGTGGGCACAAGTTATACGTACCCGGTTCGTCCTGTTGCTTCGCAATTTTGAAGTTTCGGGGCTAACTACTGTCATGGTTTTGCTTTCGGGTCTTATTCGAGTCTTGATGGTTGGCTTCTGCTGGGCTTTCTTCTTCGGCTACACGGTACCGTTTTCCAAGTGTTTTTGGGTATTCTCTATCAACCTGTCACTACAGATTATACCATGCGCTCACACTGCGTTTCACTTTTGTTGTCATCTCGGAATGATATGCGCAGTTCCATAGGAGTTCGCTTCGGTTCTCAGATAGTACCTAGAGATCCCTTCTCATTTTTTGTTTTTGTTTTTTGAGCTGAGAATGTACGGTTGCGATTTGTCTCGAACCGGCCGAGCTGGCCTTTTGATTATCTCCCTTGCAAAAAGACGAATGAATTCCCTCCCTCTACAGTTGTTTGGTTTCTGGGCATATGAAGGATGGCCTTCAAATGCATTGAAAGACGTAAAGTAGTGGTGGGGTGTATATCGAAATGGCTATTGAGATGAGATCATTGTTAGTAAGCGGGCACATTGGAGATGTTTAGCATGTGATGCGAGAAATGTGCACAAGGATTTTAGCTGTGAAAGGTTGCTTTACGTTGTGGTTCCTGGTTTCGACGGATGGACAAACATACGGCGGTTCTTTCACGTTTATTTGAGTTTTTGCTGAGATTAATCGCTGATCTTGTAAATGGGTTGCTATTCTTTGGTACATTCTGGACTAATATGTGTTATATATGTAGAGAAAAGTGGGATGAGGGAAGACCTAATTACTCATAAGACATAGGTGGGAACTTTAGGGGTTAAACTTGATTGGTTGGATGTTACTGACAACAGCATACTAAATACAGCACAATGGAAGAGAGGGTCATTGCAGCCAATCCTTCTTAGTATGGAAAAGGTACTTTGTCATTGTTGGTGATGGTTTTGTTTCTCTATCATGTTCTTTTGTCACTTAGTTTGCACCTTATCCCGTTTTATCTCCTTTGGCTTGTGATTGAAATTTCCGATTTTAATGTGTTGCAGCATTTTGCGTTAATCCTACACGAAGGGCAAGCATAGGGCTGGCATGCCAGTAGTTGTCAATCTGCCAGTTACCTCCCGTTTTCCTCAAATTAAGCTCCTAGTCTCCTTTACCAGGAACCTCCATTTGTCAACTTTTTTGTCCCTGAGACATTTGCCCTTATATTTGCAAGAAATAAAGTCGATTTCCTTTTGTTGCTTCTCTGGAGTGGCAATGCCGACTTCTTCAAAAACTGTTGTGGAGTATGCTAAGTCAAACCGTTCTTCATGCAAGAAGTGCTTCAAGACAATTGACAAAAATGCTGTTAGGTTGGGGCTAGTGAGCAGAGATTCTCGAGGTTTTGACATGACCAGTTGGCACCACATGAATTGCTTTCCTTTTGATTCAAATTCTATGAGTTCAACAGAGGCGATCAAAGGGTTCTCTCTTTTGAAGGTTTGATTCGATCTACTGTTATAACTTTTTTTTTGGGGGAAAATTTTGTTTGCCTGGACTTGTTGAAGTTTCATTGTTCCATTTTGTTATTCTAAGTGAGTCAGGGATATAGAGTAATGAAAGCGACAATGGAGATTTTGTGTACATGCTCATGAGTCTATTAGAGAAGATCATAGTTTGAAGTCGGGTATTTTTCTATGCTAAACTGGCTGAAGAAGCACCCATAACTAATCTTACCTGAGATTTTCTAGTATCTTTCTCCATTAGATGTTGTTAGGTAGCGATTTAAATTAGCTGTCCAGTATTAATATCTTGTTCATCTGCATGAGTTCACAGAGTAGTGACCAAGAGTCTCTAAAGGAATTGTTAGGCAGCTGCAAGAAGACTCCAGAAGAGGCATGTATTTTTTTTTGTTTTATATTTCCACATTCTCAATTTGTTCTCGTGATACAAAGGTTTTGAACTTTTCATGCTGAACTCTTTGGAAGATTCAAGAACAGAATGAAGATGAAGAAAATGAAATGAAGGAGAAATATATGAAAAAGCGTAAGGTATGCAAAGGCCATTTGCGGAATGATGTTTATTTGATCTTGTATTTCATCTCCCAACTTATGTGCGTATTTGTCTATTTATTTTGCAATATGGCTTTCCCCTTTCTTGTTACTTATTTCAATAGATTCAAGAAAGAGATGATGGTGCAGAAAATGAAGCAAAGGATGGAAATGCTGCAAAAGCACAGGTAAGCATCTTAGAAGAGCCAAGTTTATAGCTTGCAGTTTTGTTGCTGTAATTTTTCTTTTGCATTTTTACCTTTATCAAAATGGCGGAATTTGTTGTCACTCATTTTTGCAAACTTAAGTCAAGCCTGCCCTTGCCTAATGGAGGACACCTCAAGAAAGAGATATGGTGTAGGGAGTTTTCTTTATGCCAGCTAATTTTGTGCATGCATTTGATCCAGTTGGCTTTACCTGAAGAGGATGACCAAGTAGAAATTACCCTTTCAGCTTCTGCAATCAAGGACAATTACAAGGTTCATAGTCTTTCTGGTTATGTTATTCTCTCAGGGCAGTTCAATGTCTTTGAGATGTATTTATACTGTTACATGCCCAGCAGTTGGCTTTTATCTCCTGTGTGGTTTAATATTCTGTCAGCTTGTCTCACACACGTTCGTCCTCATCATCCAGGATGCCAAACTATCGCCAAAGTGGAAAGCTTTTGAGACAATTATTTTTCTGGAACGGGTGAGATATCTGTCTTCAGAATGATCTTGATGGATATTTCTTGGTAAGGTAGAGATGGAGTAAAATAGATCATGTTCTTTTTTGTTCATGTGTTGGCTACAAGGACTTCAAACGGATACATTGTGCTTTTTTGGCGAAGGTTACGTATTGACTGCTTAATTAATGGTTTAACTGGAGGTTTGCTAATTGTCCCAGTCTAAATTATTTATAATTTATTTTTATTCATCCAATACTGATTCCGAATGTTTGTTATCATGCGCGTGCTTTGAAGCGAGCAATTATTTCATTTTGATTTCAATTTGACATGTTTTGTATTTGTGATTTGTGCTGGCTACTTGTATATGGAGGCACTTCACATGGTCACATTTACTGGAAAATGACTAATATTGTTTGCATTTGTTTTTGGGATTAATGTAGGATGAAGGTCTTCGTGATTCGAGTAAAATTGCCGCATTTGATTTTGATGGTTGTCTGGTGAATACATCTGTAAAAAGGTATCAAAGCAACCCATGTTAATTGATTTTTTAATTTTATTTTTGGGGTGACAGTTTTTTGAGTTTCGCTTTATGATGCATCTGCTGTGTTTTGAGTAATGCTGTATCATTTGAAAATTTACCTCCTTTTTCACGAGGAGATATGCTGAGCTTGACAAATTGTTCCTTTTAGCAGTCACTGTATAGCAATTTGTATATGTTTTCATTAAATGAGATTCGCTACAACTCAACTCCAGAGTAGGTCCAGATGCTTGGTCACTTCTGTATCCTTCAATTCCGGAGAAGTTGCGGCAGTTGTATGATGAAGGCTACAAGCTGGTGAGCTTCATCTATTCCTGCGTAGGGATCTCCTATGAAGACGAAATATCATAATTTTGAACATAGCGCTGTACTGTATTTGGTTCTTTTCATTCAAATTATGGACTGTAGTTCCTGCTCATTCATCCTCCCTCTATGTGGGCAATAATTTCGTTGTGCTAATTAGGTAATCTTTACCAATGAATCAAACATTGAGCGCTGGAAGAAGAAGAGACAGGTGGCTGTGGACTCAAAACTAGGAAGACTGAACGGCTTTATCAAGCTAGTGAATCTCCCAATTCAGGTACTACAATTTCATAAACGTGGTGTTAGCATTCATGATGTAGACAATGATCTTCTCAAAGTGTCTAACTACAGAATTAAACTATTTATTCATGCGGTTCTCCATAGCTGTGCATGTTTTCCTTGAGTTTAGAGGCTACTCTTGTGATGTATTTTCTGAATGCGAGTATTTCTCTACTGTATGTTGTTAGTGTCAGTTCTTTGAGACCTTAGAATTGCTTGATCTTTCGAGGATATCGTTTCTTCCTTCCCACTTCCATCTTCCCCCATCATGACTGTAACTTGGCACATTCTTTTCTTGCTTTTGGCCTGCTAATCAGCCAAAGAAATGACTTGAGCTTGGCACGAATGTGATTAGAAATTTACAGCGTCCATCTCTAGCCTGAGTCAAGAAACTTCAATCCTCAGATTTCCCTTCCTGCTATGTTAACGAAATAGTAGCTTGGTGGAGTAGGGTGGTGGGAGGAAATCTTACGTTTAAAAGCTACAGTTCGATAGTATACAACATTTGCCTCTTAAAACTTTCTTCTGAGTTTACTGATGAAAAAAAAAAAAAAGAACTTCCAAGTTCATTTTATGACATTCCGTCATTTCAGAAAATTTGAAGTAGCAGCTGACTTGCCCCACTTAATGCAGGTGTTTATAGCTTGTGGCATCAGTAAGCCTAGAGGTCCGGCAGAAGATCCCTATCGCAAACCCAAAACAGGAATGTGGAATGTTATGGCAAAGTATTTCAACTCTGGCATTTCGATCGATATGGACAAGTAAGCATGGTTTCTTTTTCTGTGTCACTGATGTAACACTGTCTGATGGGCGGGGATTAGTTCATTATGTCCCTTTCATCCTTCTTGCAACTTGTTGATTCAGTTTCCGTGTCATCTAGTTTTTGACTGGGGGAGCGTTTGTATGTAATATAACATTTATGCTTGAATTCTAGATCCTTTTACGTTGGTGATTCTGCTGGGAGAATCAACGACCATAGTGATGCTGACATCAAATTTGCTCAGGTATTAGAAATTCAGTTGAAACATATACTGCTCTCTCTGCATCATTATGCTTTTGCAATTGCATATTGCTTTTGTCTGTCCCGTGTTTCCCTCAGTTAAGAATTACTTCTGCTTTGTAGTAGAAAGTTCGGCTATTAAAAGTATCTGCAGCGAGCACACTTGAGTGGCCAAGTGAAACAGTTATATCAAGGCATGTATAAATGTGTCTTCTTTCTTGTTGCAGGCCATTGGTTTAAAGTTCTATCTCCCCGAGGAATATTTTCCGGTTTGAAGGAACGGTGTGGGGCGCTTGAGCGTGCACGATCCCTGCATCGAGTTGGATATTACCAGTGGGCTTAGAAGTAAGAGATCCCTGGTATTGACTGCGTTGGTTTGCTTTCTGGGAAGAGGCTTCTGATCTTTGTCATGATCTCTAGCATTTTTGCTATTTATGGTGAAACTCGAATACCTCGGTGTAACATCGCTGCTACGCTCCTTCGCTTCTTGAATATGCCTCCATCTTGTTTATGGTTTCCCAAAATTTGCAATTTTCTCAGCTGCCGTTGTTCCTTACGAAAATTCTGAGACGAGTGCCTCTTGAATTCTCTTATTCACCCAGAAAGGGGAAAAAAGAAACTCACATACTTCCACGAACTAGCATGTCCCGGCGGAGTTTGTAGGCACTGTAATGTCTCACGAAGTGTACCTTGAATCGATGAACATGTGAGTGCTCGTGGCCGTCCTGTCGACTGGCGGCGGAGCTTCCTTCATGGTGATGGCGAGTGTCGCGAAAGAAGTGTGACGGCGGTCACAACGGCGAGGGGCAAGTGATGACATAAGTTTCAGTATCATGAGCAGTCGTTTTTGGTGGGTAGAGCCTGAGGAGACCAGAAGAATTATAGAGGCATTTGGGGAAAAAATGACAATTTTTAGAAGAACATACAATAATAACCGATGACATTGACAAGTCTAATTTTAACCGTACTGTGAAAAAATTATCGGTTTCAGAAGAAGAGAACCCGGAATGACATGGGAGCGTTTGGAAATGGCTTTGGGAAGTCACTTTGGGCATCTAAAGCCCTTTGGGCTAAAATCTGGTGTTTGGGAAATTTTTTTGCCAACCCCATTGAGAAAAAGCTAGTCTTGTGAAGGCTGAAAGCCCAAGGCAGGTCCTAGGCTGCCTTGGGCTTTCAGCTTTCTTGGCATGGAACAATGCCGATTAAGTAGAAAAGATTTCTTCCAAAACTACCCTCATCTATTTTTTGATTTTCCGGTTTTGGCCTCGTCTTTCATTGTTCATCGTCTTCTTCGCTTACCTCGGCCGGCGTGGCTGTGAGGGGACGGCGACAGGCCGGAGAGGGGCTGGCGTGGTCACGCAACCTAGCGACCATCGCTTGGGGTCGCACGACCGCCGCGACGGGCCACGCGACCCAGACGGCCCTCGCCAAGAACTCGCATGACCTCGAAGCGGCGACGTGTGATTTCGACTGAGGTCGTGCTACCTAGACGATCCTTGAGGGTCGCGTGAAACCCAGGCGAGGCGGCCCTCATTGGTGGTTGCCAGGGCTGCATGAGGTCGTCCGGCCTCAGATGGCGGCGGTGTGGCGTCAGATCTAGGTCGCTGGCGGCCCTTGCCTGGGTTTTGCGACCCTCATCGGGGGTTGCTCAACCCCAGGCGGCCCTTGTTGGTGGTCGCCAAGGGCTACTTGAGGTTGTTCGGCCTCAAACGACTGCCGCGCGGTGCTAGATCTGGGTCGTTGACGGCCGCCTGCCCTTCGCCGGCTCCGGCGAAGAGTTTCAACTTTTATTTAATAAAAAAGCAAGTGTCTTACAACTATAATTTTCCAAACGCTATTTTACCCAAAGTTGCTTTGCAATAGATTTTTAAGTTACAACTTACCAAACACAATTTGCATTTTAGAAAATTCCTTCAACTTGAAAATCCTTTGCATTTTGCCAAAGACTTTCTCTCAAAGTATTCCCAAACGCAGCCATAATGGATGAAATTGGGAAGGATGTTTCCACTTCTCTCCAGTGAGATATAAAATAAAATGATAAGAAATTTGTTGAAGAGTGCTTTTTAAACAATGAAGAAAAGAATTCGACCAATAAAAAAAACAAGGAAATAATGAAATGTAATAATTTTTAATGCATTGACTTTTCTTTTCATTGTAGATAGTTAAATCTTACAAAATGTGTTTGTCCTGTCCCGCTCGATCCACCAGTTTTTCTGATAAGAGAGAGTGACATAAATAATCTCTTATCTTTAATTTAATGTGATTTTTAAATTTTTAATTTGTTCAATTTGGTTTCTGAATTTTAACTCAATATTGAATATGGTCCTTGAACTTTAGATACACGTTCAAATTAACCCCTGAATTATATGAAAATGTTCAATATTGTCATTCCATATATTCTAAGGACTAATTTGAATATGTATATAAAAAGTTCATGGACCACATTGCAAATCGGATTAAAGTTCAAGAATGTTATTGAAAAAATTAAAAATTCATAAATCATCTTGCATATTTAACTAAAGTTCGGAAGCTATTTGTGCCATTTTCCGAGAATTTAGTATTTGCCCGGTAAGAAACGAAAAGGAAAAGAAAAATGGAATCATTTGTAAAAAATCCACAGCTCCGAACTGAAGTCAAAGTTACGAACTTTAACTCCACCTCCTGAAGATCAGAAAAGCCATAGCCAAGAGAAGAGAGAGCGAGATAAGGAAGACCCACCGGAGCCAAGCACAGCGAAAGCACAATCCCGTTGTTCTCTCAAATGGGTCTTCCTTCTTTAACCAGGTTGGGACATTCATTCTCCGAATCACACACCCTTCTCTTGCTTCGCTTCCGTTCTTGCTCATTCATTTGACTCTGCTATTTGGGGGTGTCTGGGCAGCGCGTGCGGTTCGCTAGGTTGCTGCAGTTCTTCAATGTCGACCGTGCAGCTAGGGTTTCATTGCAGTTCCCTCGACGCGTTCTGGGTTCCTCGTAAAAGAAGGAATTCTGGCCGGGGTTTTCACGTGGCTTGCTCTTCCTCTTCACCTACTGGTAATTTGGTTCTTTTTTTGTCTGTCTTTTCAGTAATTTCCCGTAAAGTTTACTTTTTGCGCCGTTTCGGGGTGTTGAATTTTCGTGGTTCGCACTCTTGCGTGTTGTGGATTATCACTATGCATGAGTTGAATGGCTTGTGCGTAAATCTAGAAGTGATGCTTTGTTTTGGTGACAAGAAGTGTGAGAAGTGGATTCGAAATGACTGCTGGATAGGAAGTTTCAAATTGTATCGCCAAGGTCGATGTGGATTGCACTCGAAAGAATGCTATAGAAGTACTGCTTGAACACGGTTTTGCTGCCATTAAGTTGGCTCTGATTTTTCTTTTGTGGTTATGTCTCGTCTTGGTTTGATAACTATTCTTGTTTGGAAGTTAAACTTATTGGATCTGTGTGATGTCTGGTTGTTAATACTGTGGGAAAAGATTTCTGGAGTTCTGCTCCAAGGTTGTTATTTTCTTTGTAGAAATATCACAGTGATCTCTGCTTTGCTTTAAGTAAGATTAGTTGGTAAATTGATATGATTGGGAAATTGTATGTCAGGCTTCACATTGGGTATAATCCACAAGGAATGGTTTTTCCAATGGTATTTCGCATGATGGAGAGGTGTAGAGGCTAGAAAATTGGACCAGCAATAACTTTCCTATAGGACGTATTCTCTGTTATCGAAAATACTTATTTGGAGCGTTGTTCATTCACGTTCAATAAAACCAAGTCAATTATTCTCGTGTTAGGCCCCTTCCATCTTAACCTGCTTTTTTGTAAGGCATCACCCTAGTTGAAATTTCATGGTTTAGATTTGTGCTTGAAGATACGTCGGTTTTATTTGCTCTATGAATATATTTTACGTTCAGATCCACTCTTGGTGAGGGCTGCTAGAGGAGATCCTGTGAGTAGGCCCCCGGCATGGATGATGCGACAAGCAGGAAGGTATATGGCTGTTTACAGAAAGCTTGCAGAGAAACATCCATCCTTCAGAGAGAGGTCAGAGACCACCGATCTCATTGTGGAAATTTCTTTGCAGCCTTGGGAAGCTTTTCATCCAGATGGGGTTATCATTTTCTCTGACATACTCACCCCTTTACCTGCATTTGGGGTCCCATTTGACATCGAAGAAGTAAGAGGCCCTGTAATCGGGTCCCCAATTCGTTCTGAGGAGGCCTTGAAGTCATTGCATCCAATTGACTTGGAGAAACTTCATTTTGTGGGAGACTCCTTGAGGATCTTGCGGCAGGAGGTAATTGATGATAACATAACATGCACTTGAAGGAGTTTCAGCTAAATTTAAATTGACAGTCACCTATAGAGAAATAATTGCCATTATAGCTACTTGCCTTTTGAACTTGTCTTTTTTAAAGGTTGAAGGGCGGGCCGCTCTACTTGGTTTTGTCGGGGCACCGTGGACAATTGCTACATATGTGGTTGAAGGGGGTACGACTCGGACATATACTGTCATAAAAAGCATGTGCCATACAGCGCCACATGTATTGAGGGCTCTTCTATCTCATATAGCTCAAGCAATTGCAGAGTACATCATCTTCCAGGTGGAATCTGGAGCTCATTGTATACAAATATTTGATTCATGGGGTGGACAGCTACCTCCTGATATGTGGGAAAGCTGGTCAAAGCCTTACATCCAACAGGTAGCAGCTATTTTTCATTCTGAATTCATTTTACCTCCTTGACACAGTTTCTTTGCTAGTCATTTGGTACTACTTACTTTGTCTTGTTACTGGAGTTGCGCTACGCACAGAAGGTCTGTGCATAAGCATGGATTGCTGATTGTGCATGAGGGCTTGGTCGAAATAGTTGCATTTTTACTTGGTCTCGAGGGAGAACATTAACTTTACGTGTCAAATTTTGGAAGAGGATATTGTTGACTGCAAGCATCTCTCTCCTATTTGAGTTATTGCATCCTTGTTCTGCCAAGTTTAAGCACAAAAAAAGATACCAAAAGAACATTTTTTTTATGTGGAAAAAGCTTTAGCTCTATTCAGGTTTATAGTTCTTTTCTCATCCCATTTTGATCTGATCCAATGACCCACATGGGATTGCAGATTGTGGATGTTGTGAGGAAGAAATGCCCAGGAACTCCGCTTGTCCTATATATAAATGGAAACGGTGGTCTTCTTGAGCGAATGAGAGAAACTGGAGTGGATGTGATTGGGCTGGACTGGACTGTGGACATGGCAGATGGAAGGAAACGGTTAGGTAGTGGAGTTGGCGTGCAGGGTAATGTGGACCCTGCTTACTTGTTCTCTCCTCTGCCAGCCTTGACTGAAGAAATTCAAAGGTCAATATCTATTTTTTTTACGTTGTCTTGATTTTTATAGGTTGAGTAGCTAGCTTCCTTTTAGTTAAAAGCTTTGGTTTGAAGCCTGCAATATTTGCTTGGTTGTACTAATGAAATTGTTCTGGAAATATAGCAAAGCAGAAGCCACGTCAATGAGTTTGATGTGGACCTATTTTATGCATGAATTAGGGGATGAAAAGTGTAGCTAGGGGATGGTGCTTGATGGCTGACGATTTTGGTTCTCTAAAATAAGACAGAAATCTACTCACACGACGTAGTTGTTAGGATCTGGCCTAGATTGAGGGAATTTTCATTGAAGATTCTGCTTTGATCATATGTGGACTAGTCATAGTGACTCAGAAATATTGGCAGCTTAAGTTTATTTTGGCATTTGGATAGGTAAACAAAAAGATTACATTCATTAGAGTTTGATCTGACTCGATACATTTTCCAGGGTTGTGAAATGTGCAGGGCCGAAAGGTCACATTCTTAATCTTGGGCATGGTGTCCTTGTTGGGACTCCTGAAGAAGCAGTTGCCCATTTCTTCAATGTAGCCAGGAGTTTAACATATGATTCATTTGTACAAGGTCATGCGGCAGAGAAAGCCACATTGGTAGCGTGACTGCAGACAATTACTTTGAGCAAAACCATCTTGTCAAAGCTTTAGAATTTCAGGATGATAGCCCGACCTCTCTGCTGACTTCTCGCCTTCCTTTTGAGTTTCACAGTTTTGGGGATGCATTGAAGGGTATGTACATGGCTGTGAGCAATCTAATATATCCTTTTTCAGTTCAATCTGTAAATCAATATTGTTCAAATGTTCTGCAAAATTGCATTTGTCTCATGACCCTTGCTTTCTCTGCCTACCGTTATTTTCTACCTTTTGTATTTGGGGCTTTTTTATGATCATGATCATGTAAGATTCAATTACATTTTCCAAATATTCATCCTTATGATCAGAATTCTTGTACTCTTGTTGGTTTTTTTTTGGTCGAATACTCTTGTTGGTTTGGTTTGTGCTATATGTTTACTTTGCTGAAAAATGTTAATTGGCAAAAGAAAGAAAGAAAGGCGATAATGCGTCATATAAACTATAGAAAGAACTTCTGATGCTATAAGATCATAGAGAGAGATATTATGCGATTAATTGTCCTTGTCACTGGTGATTACAATTTCCATTTCTTAATCATGACTCCTATGTTGGACAAAATTAGGATATGCCTAGGACAAGCCTAGCCTAGGTATGCCGACACATCACAAAAGCATATGATATGCATCACTTTTTCTCAAGGGGCACACTCTAGAGATTGAGGGTGGTCCACTGCTAAAAACATTATGTACCATTCCCCCTTTTGGTGTTGTTCTTTGCGAGATCTACACTGATTTAGTTTGAGCTTATTTCAAGGTGATGAGTGCTTACTCAAATCTAAATTATTTGCAATTTGCGATTGCGGATTGTCGCTATTTATATGTAGCTTTTACTAGCTTGTACTGATTGTTTGTCGGTCTCTCATCTCACCTTGTTATGTTTCGCTATTCAAAGCGTCCAAATGCATGAACTTTGCTTACTCGCTCACGGTGCATGAACTTGGGTCATTGACCTAACCAAAGTTCCTCTAACATGCACTTTTAGGATGGCCTATTCTTGGAGGCCAACGTGAATTGTGAATTTAGAGATACTAGGTGGGGATTATTGTCAATGCCTATGTCTCCTGGTTGACAAAATCATGCCACATAGAACTTAGACCATAGCATAGCATCCGATCGATTTCCTTTGTTGTGCTCTGGTGGATGTCCTTATCTTTTCAAAGCGAATGCCATCATAGTGTTGAGAAGCAAACAGTCATTTTAATCCTCAGTATTTGATATCCACCTGAATGTAAATGTAGATTAAGCGTATCACTCAAGTTAGATTTCCCATATTACCTGCGCAAATTATCTCTTGTTTCGGATGCCCACACGGATTTCCAAAGGATAATTGTCAAAAAAGTCATAAACATATTGTATGGCGGCTAATTCAGTCATAAATTTTTCAATTGCGCCAACTTAATTCTAAATCTTTTGACGATTAACCAATATAGCCTTTTCGGCCAATTTTAGATGAAAATTGCTGACGTGAACGCTAGTCGTCTTACGTGATACAGTTGTGTTGAAGTTGAAAATTTTTGCAAATTTTTAATACTTTTTTGAATTTTTTTAACTTTTCCATTTTCCATGAGGCTAGTGAGGGCTACCCTCGCCTAAGCAATCGTTGCCCACGCCAGATTTGGCGATGGCGATTGTTGGCAAGGGTCACCCTAGCCGATTTTCACCCTTGTCGACCACCCCTTGCCTAGGCTCGCCTGTGGTCGGCAAGTGTAGCCCTCACCTGTTGATGGAAGCCTGCCTTAGGGCAAAAAGAAAAGAAAGGAAAAAAAAATTAAAAAAAGTTGCAAAAATTATTTATGTTAGTGCTGGCATTGCCACGTAGGACAGTCGATGACAATTTTAGTGATTTTTTTTATCAAAATTGATCGGAAGGACTATATTGGCAAATCGTCAAAATGTTTATGACTAAATTGGCACAATTGAAAGATTTATGACCGAATTTACAGCTTTACGATAGGTTAGGACTTCTTAAACAATTTTTCCCTTTTTCAACTCGCATCTGTCCTTATATAGGGAGGTGCAGTATTTCGTGGGGAAAAGTGCCGAATAAGTTCTAAACCTTTTGGGGCAGTGCCAAATTAGTCCTAAACCTATTTTTAGTGCCAATTGAGTCCTAAACATTTTGATATAGTGTCAATTTAGTCCTTTTGGCCGGATTTTGCTGACGTGGACGTCGGCCGGCCGGCGACCGGTCACCGGAGCTGACGTGGACAAAATTTAATAATATTTTAATATTTTTTTGAATTTTTTTTCTTCTTTTTTTTTTCTTCTCCCTCTTCCTCCAGCCGGTCGTCGGAGCAGCGACCGGCCGGAGGCCAGAGGCCGGCGAGTTCGACCTCGCCGGCCACTAGCGAGGCACGCCCTCGCCGACGACGGCGAAGGCGAGCCTCGTGCTGGGCTGGCGAGGTTCGCCCGGCCCTCGCCATGGCCGGGCGAAGGTCGACCTCGCCAGATCCGGCGAGGTTGGGCCTCGCCCAGCCGCCGGCGAGGCTCGACCTCGCCAGATCCGACAAGGTCGAGCCTCGCCCAGCCATGGCGAGGCTCGCCTTCGCCGTCGCCGGCGAGGGCGTGCCTCGCCAGTGGCCGGCGAGGTCGACCTCGCCGACCTCTGGCCTCCGGCCGGTCGCCGCCCCGGCGACCGGCTGGAGGAAGAGGGAGAAGAAAAAAAAAAGAAGAAAAAAAGAAAAAAAAATTCAAAAAAATATTATTAAATTTTGTCCACGTCAGCTCCGGTGACCGGTCGCCGGCCGGCCGACGTCCACGTCAGCAAAATCCGGCCAAAAGGACTGAATTGGCACTATATCAAAAGGTTTAGGACTCAATTGGCACCAAAAATAGGTTTATGACTAAATTGGCACTTTCTCAAAAGGTTTAGGACTTATTCAGCACTTTTCCCGTATTTCGTGGGTCTAGGGATTTCATTCACCTAAGTTGAGTACGTAGATATTAGCCGGTTCCACTTTTAGATTTCTTTTCCCCTTAAGGCTGTTTGAATGACATTCTCCTTCATAAGTTTGACGTAGAGTACATGTATCTGGGTCTTTCCTTAGGCAAGTAAATGAGAACAACAATGATGACAAGGACAACAATAATAATAAGTTAGCAAAATTGAATTAAGGAATTCTTGACTAACATGCAAATCTTGTGAAAATTACCAAAACAATCCTAAATTTGTTGTTCGGTTGTCAATTCAATCCTAAATTTTTTAATTTGGCCAATTTCGTCATGTTCCTCCAAGAATTTTGATACTGACAAAACTGTTGTGATTTGATAGATGCAAATGTTGTTGTTGCTAAGGTGGCATCTATTAACAATCCGATATCATTGAATCTATCCTAAACTCTAAGTGAAAGGATTCAAAAGATTGAATGGACCTCAAGGATGAACAAGTCAAGAGAATGGGAAGTTTGTGAGGACTTGGAAGAAGCAGTAAGTGAACAGGTTTGTGGAAGCCTCGTTCACGTATGTGCTCAAGAAGATTGATGGAATATTGTCAGCCAATTAAATGGGCACAATTGCGGGAGGTTGATAGAAGCTAGCTATTACTCATATCAATTTGAGAAGATTATTATTGATCACGTCGGATAATTAACGAAATTTTGGATATTGCTTTGACCGTTATTACGCATGGAAAGAAATTTGACAGTTCGCAAGTCTGGAACGGATTTGTTCACTTCGAGGAGAATCAGATCAATTATCCATTACACCGTTGGGCAACTATTATTTCCTTATTTGGAGTCTTCATTCTTGGAAGCAATAAGATTGCTGAAAGATGTGTTTGTATGGCCAAACAGGTCTCTAGTGATTTTATTGTTATCTGGAATGGCAAAATTGATCATCTCGAAGATCATTCAACGATCAACTTAAAGCTTAACAACTATAAAAGGGATCAATGCAAGGCAAAGTAGATAGAGATGGATTATGAGAATTACAAGAACTCTTACTTATTATGTGTTCAATCGATTCACTTACTAAGAGTAATACACTTACTGTAAATTTTTTGAGAAGTGTACAAGTGCCGTAGTGGTGCATGTAACTTGAAAGTGTGATCTATTAGCTTCGCGTAGAAACAAGGCAAGCTACAACCGTAATGACTTAAAGAACTACTAGTGAAATCTAGCCTTGCCAATGGTTGTTAGTCTCGAAGAGTAGATGGAGGCTTGATATAAATCGAACCACTACAAACCTGCGTGCATCTATTTCTATCCCTTCACTTGCAATTTAAATTGTTTGATAGAAGCACTGCACACATATTAGCAACATATTCTTGCATCTATCAATTTGTTGTTGCATATATTAACTGGATTTTGTTTAATTCTTCAAAAATTTATCAAGTAAATGTTCACCCTCCTCTAGATTATATCACTTGCCATAACAAGCCCTAAACCGTTTGACGATTTGCTAATTTAGTCATTCCGGTCAATTTTGGTCGGCAATTGCTAAAGTAGACACCAACGGTCTTAGGTGACACTGCCGACACTGATGTAGATGATTTTTGTAATTTTCTAAAAATATTTATGAATCTTTTTTCCTATTCTTTTCTTTTTTTTATTATATTTTTTCCTCTTTCCCTCCGCTAGTTGTTGGGGCCTTAGCGATGGCCAACCGTCTCAAGTGGAATGGCCGGCACTAACTGGACTGCCGTGTCTGTGATTTTCGGCCAACATTTGTTAGAATGACTATATTGACAAATTGCCAAAAAGGTTTATAAAAAAATTAGCCAAATTAAAAATTTAAGACCGAATTGATATCTCTAAAATAGGTTTCCGCTTTTTATCAGTAATTATCCCTGTAAAGCTCAAACTTCACCAACCTAGCTAACGGTGTAGCTACCTTTTCATTCATTCTTTTCTTCCCCTACCTAAGCCTCCTTAGCCAAGTATGTTTCACAAGAAGATCAAAAAGGGCAAAAAGTGTCAAATTAAATAAGTAACTATTAGAGAAGGCACTGACCCATGATTGTCGAATTGAATAAAAATAGGTTGACATGACTATATGAATAGAGAGGAAGCAAAACGCTTACCTATGAATGTTAATTTATAGTTTTTTTTAATAATTATGGAGAGAAGCTGGACCATTTCTTGTGCTCAGTCATCCATTCGCAAGAAGTGGCAAACAAAGTGGCCACGAAGAGAAATACATTCTTTAATTTGGATTTTATTCATCACTAATGCGGCTCATAATCACACCTTGATAGAGATTGGAGATAATTATTCCCTGACTTAAACAAAATATAATAGTTTTGAAAGCGCTTTTTAACTCGTTAATCGTTACTAAATATAAGCAAACTCAATAGAGAATATCGACCTTAATATTTTATGGGAAAAAAAATTCTTAAAAGCCCATATATCTTCTATTAAGATGAACTATAAACAACATCATAATTTGAAATTGTCAAGATAATTGCCAATTGAGCCTCATAAAATCTCTCTCATTCTACATTTGAATTAGAATCTTCCTCATTCTGCAACCACTCAAATTGATTTCTTAAAACAATTTTTTCTCTTTCTTTGCACATTTAGAACATTCTTCACTTTTTTCTTCCCATGCATGTATATCTACCTAGTCATAACTATGTACTGACCACCAAAAGTGAGGAATTAGCCATCTACAGTCATCACAGCTATCATTATATGCCCATCCTAACTTGCTGATTTGCTGGTCTTTGCCATCTAGTCTTCCATTTTGTCTTAATCGCATTAGTCTGCTAGCCTAAATTCAACTTTAACCAGCAAACCTCCGCTGTAAAAAATTGAGGAAGGAAGCTTCAAAGATCAAGAACTTTGACCCCTTTTATTTGGCTAAATTGCAAGGTGGGGATTTACAAGGAAGGCTCAGGAGCAAACGCAAACTCAGTAGGAAGTAGGTTCCTTCCGAAGTGTGACCGCGTCAGAAGAAACAATCCCTCTCAATAAAACTCCATAGATTGCTGTGTCTCCATGTGAACGTTGTGCTGCGTTTAGCACACGATAACACCTTGATGACTATTAAGGAGCACCATATAGCTTTAGAGACAACATCAAAAGATTGCAGATCTACTGTTAAAGATCTTTGAAAGAGAGATTTATTTTTTCAATGAAGAGGAAATGGTGGTGCCTGATTGGGTCAAAGATACTAAATCTAATGTTTGAAAAGACAATGAGGAATCCAAAGATGTTAAAAAATGATGAATATGTGGGACATCAAGATCTTTAAGTGGGGAATACTTCTCTAAGGTTAACATATTCATTAAACTCAGGAGTGGTTTGATGGACCTGAACAAATATCATTTACGTACAATAAACAATTGCTAGTGTAGAAATATATATGTCATCGAATGCATAGCAATTTGATCAACACAGATTAATAAGATAGATTCATGAATGTGCTATGAAAGATTATGCAAGAACACAATGAAACTGCATGGGTAGCATGATATTCCATGCAATATCAATATAATTTCAAGTAAGAACGAGTTTATATAAAATATGGAAATAGGCACCATGCGTGGTGCAGAGAGAGAGAGAGAGAGAGAGAGAGAGAGAGAGAGAGAGATCTGTCTGGGAAAGTTGCAGTGGTCATATACTTGCATCAATAGTTATACATATGGGGGAAGACATTCATGAACTTAAATGTTCCAAATCTCCAAACAGTCATCACCTGAGCTGAAAAGATTGGAAAAGAAGAAGAAATTGAGACTCACCCACAAGACAAGTATTCCCTGGATCACTGCTGCCTTGGATACTTGCCTCTCTCATTTAAAGAAAAGTACAGTCCTTGAGTCATAAAAAAGCAATCTTGATTCTGGGAAAGACTATATATGATAGGCAATAAGGGCTCCAAAGAGTGATTTGGACTTTTCTGGCTTACTCAAGCTCCTGGAATGAGACGAAAAATAATTAGAAATCCACAATCAGGAATTCAAAACGTCAAAATGTTCAATGACCACATGCTTGGTACTCAACATGTGGAAAATTATTAGCATGATAATTGACGGATCTCACATTGACATACACATTAGCACATTAGAGAGTACATATTGCCAGATATACTTCAAAATGTAGCATGACACTAGAAGAACTACGTATATTAAGCGGTGTCGTATTGGGATTGTCTTGGTATGTACTTTCTATGTCTGTTTGTGCAAAATAAACACCAGAAGAGAGGATTGATTAATGAAAGTACTGTAACTTGTATTGACATATATTATCCACGACGAACACTGGGTTTCTATTTGCCTGAATATGTGCCTATATATATAGGAATATAATGCTTGTGGATTTTGCATCATGGGTAAAATGACAGCCAGTAGCTCGTATCTGATGCAGAGAAAAGGCAATCTGACTTGTGTTGTAATCTCAATTTCGGTGTTATTTTAGCATTACCAGAAGAAGCATGATCCAACAAGACTTGTATTATTCTAGGCACAAGATCTTAGCATTGGAGTGTGATGTTATTAACACAACAGATGTGATGTTATTAACACAACAGATGAAGTGATCTAACAATTGTTTTATCATGTGTCCTCATATACCCAGTCATTCTCACCTTGCTAATCAAGATGTGAGTGATTTGAATGAGGGGATCTGATTTCATGTCCATTCATGGCGGGCAAAAAATCGTGCGGAATCTAAAAAGAGTTACGATCATATAAAAAGAAAGCACACATAAGCGAGAATTATTTAATTAATTATTCAAATCAAAGAGCAGTTGAGAGAGAGACAGAGAGAGAAAGAGAGAGAGTTTTATCTACCCAGCATCGAATGTGTCCTAGGAGTGAAAAACGTCAAGGAAAAAGTTACTAAGTACTGTTTCTCTGTCTTTTCTCATAGCAAGTGCGTACTATGCAGATTAGGGTTTTATGAAGCTCGTGTGTGGTAGGGTTTTCAAAGAAAGGACTACTCATATACAAAGACTAAACATGAAAAAACGTACGCATACTCCAACCATCATGATGTGCAAACTTAACCTTTCAACAAGCACATCCATCTTCCTTAAGCTAAATAAGCTGGATCAATAAGCTAATATAATCATCATATAGTCTCCATAACAATTGCATATATTGCATACTTGATCAACAGATATCATCATCTCAGCCCAGATCAACCCAGAAATGAAGAAACTATAGAGAAATTGAATTACCAGTTCCTAGAATTTTTGTAGCTCAAGATTGGTGAAGAGGAATGCTTGAGCTAGTATCACCATTGGGCTTCATCAAACTCCGATTCGGTCTCTTCTTTTTCTTCTTGTAAGGGATTCCTCTAGCCTTAGCCTGAGAATCCCTAACTTCACGTAAGTAGACCCGAATAGAGCTACTGGCAAATGGGTTTGTCTCTGGCAACCCGCCGTTTTCTTCATAGGCAGCCCTGAGCCGACCGATGAGGGCATCAAGGCTCCCCCACGCTTGCTTGAGTGGGCATGTGCAAGGCCCCGGCGGCTCTGGCTGGCCAAAGTACACACACCCGTTGAAGTGCACCTTAGTCTTTCCAAACTGATCGAGGTATCGGAGGAATTCCAAGACATGAGTGGAGTTGCACTGGGAGATTCCGACTGGAGGCCTTTGGTTGCTCAAGTACTGCCCAAAAGTGTTCCAGTCTCGTCGCTTCTGTGACTCGTAGCGACTCAGTTGAGTCGGTTGCGGCAGATGGTCGCCGGAAGGCACGACGGATCTCGAGGATCCTTCTTGTATGGGATCTTTCCCTCTATTATCCATCGACACGACAAAGCTTTCTTTCCAGGAAATCAAGAATTTTTTCCTTCCCTTCTGGTTTCTTTGTATGAGCTTGTATAGGATCAATTCCTATCGGAAGAGAAATTATTGAAGAGGTTTCAAGAAGAAGAATAGAGAGGAGGAAGTGGAGGAAGATGAAGTTAACATCATGGGGGCTACTCGAGGAGACATGAAATGGGTCCTTTGAAAGTGCCTTTCGCTATAGCCCTCATTTTTCTTTTTTCTTTTCTTCCTTCTCATTGGTATTATTTTGTCACCTTTGATGTACTATCACCGATTAAATTATTCTTTTCTTTTCCATTTAAAATATGATAATTATTCTTCCATCGCCCAATGAATGATTATAGTGTGCATTAGCAAATTTAGCACCACTGTTTAGTGGGCACCCGAGTCTATCCAGTCTGAATATAAGATTATTTGAGTTAGGGCGGCTTTCATTGTGTTAGTATATGTGCCTAGACCTATATACATCTCTCTAAAATAAGATTAAAAAGGAACTAATCACATATCACCAAGTATACTGTGAGAGTTCAAAACCAGAATTCAGGCGATGATTACTTTTGGGATAATAGGTTAAAAAGATCTGACTAATCACTTTTTCAATTACAGGCTAAGTTCACTTAATATTGGTGGATTGAGTTGATGTTAGCTCAAGAAACACATGTTAAACACCGAATCCAACCCTAGTGTTCTTCTAACCTTAAACGCAAAGCAAGGAATAATGACTTAATTTAAAAAAATAATCACCTCCGCTTCCTCATAGTCATATTATTATATCTGCAAGCTCGTGCACAATTAAATTGGAACTGTGATGTATGGTGTAAATATTCTATGCGTGTTATAATATTGTACGTGGTGAATGCGACGTAGGTGCACATGCAAAATGGAGTAATTAGTAATTTCGCCTCTGATTGGTACAGGGATTTGTCTGCTCCTTACGAGGTGCAGATGCTTAGGAATGACCAATACAGTTAGTTAATTAGATTTGTCTCCTCTTTAAGCTAGGCTCTTGGAAGGTACTAGCTAGCAACTAGCTTATATGAAAATGGCTTTTCCTTGAGAGGAATAAGGGGAGAAGAGATGGAAAAAATATCATCACAAAACACATATTTATAAAAGTATTTACTATTATTTTAGCTTCTAGAGAATTGGATTAATATATATATTTATTTATTTTTAATTTTTTTCTTCAACGTGGGTATTCAAACATCTGGCATCACATTATTACGTACACCCGTCTCATCCACGCCCATCAAATGATGATCTATTCACAAACGTAGTGAACGTGGCTCTTGAAATTAACCCGAGTAGGAGATGCTATATATAATTCGAACACGACATCTGCTATATGCCCATTTGGGTCTTGACCACTTGGAGATTCGAGGTTATGTAGGCTATAATTCTCCTGGACTAATTAATTGTTTTTTGCCTAGTTGATTTTGCTGTCTGATGACGTGGGTTAATGTTCATGTACACTGCAACAATCTGAATTTAGTAACTCAAGAAAATGCAGCAGGAAAAGGCGGGTCAATGCCCTTTCTTGCCCTAATGTTTTTCAAAGTAAAGCATCTGAAACCTTTTTCTTTAGCGTCATTATTTCACTTATGGACAACGTTAATATATAACGTCAGGTGTCCAATTTTGACCTAGACGTGGGGCGACCTCGTTTTCGATGACTGAAAAATGTTTATTTTCTCATTGCAGTCGAGGGCTTCATCTGATGCAGAGTTCTAGGATCCATAAAAAGAGTGATTGGAATCATTGCAAATTAATGACTCCTAGTATTGAGGCGCTTGATTTCGATTTCCCTAGGTTGTGTGGTAATGTCCGCACGGTGCTCGATCAACCACTTTAAATATTCGCGTAATATTAGCATCAATCGTCCTTTGTTATGTGTATCCGTCATATGAAAGATTTTTCCTGCAACTTAACCTAATGCATACTCAATTCACTTTTCAAATTCGATTATTCGATGCAATGAACACGCGTGATGACCGACAAGCTACGGACCTAACTTTTTGAGAGATTATAATGACATGAACCTTCAAACCACTTAATCACATCTTTCCTTGTGCGTGCGTATGAAACAGTGCCTATTTTGTTTTCTTATCATCCCTCAGATTTTTAGTTTTAATTTTTTTGCTAATAGTCCTGATTTCATCAAGAACCTTTTTTTGGCCTAATCAATTGCGTGTGAGTAACATACAAGGAATCCTCCACTGGTAATATCAAATAATATCCTCTCGGTACGGATTGGGAGCGATGTTTTTGTTGTTTTTCTTTCTTTTTCCAACTTTTCCCTGACTTTATCATTGTAGACTTTTTTCACGGATGTTGCATAAAAGACTAAGGAATACAAGATTTATGCCCTTTAGCTTTGTTCGCAGAATTCCAGTACATATTGCTCTGTTCATTTCCTTTACGAGGACATGCAGACAGTCCAGGTTTGCATTTTCGTGCTCCATTAGGTTGAGAAGCAGACAGATGTATGTTTTGGCTTCTAGAAGAGAATTAGATGTAGTGCCAAATCAACTCGGTACACGACCTGAAGAGAGTTTCGGAAGGTCCACATCAATCTGATGTTCGACCGTTTCGCTGAGCAACCATACACCTAAAGTTTATTCATCTCAGGGCGTTTTTTGGATAGTTGCCTATGCCTCATACGTTGTTCGCTTGGCTAATTTCTTAGACTGCGTTTAGCAGTTTGGATTCGGATTGGGAGATGATAGAATAAAGTGGGATTAAAAATTCTCCGGATTGTACAAAATCCCATCATCTGTTTGGGGCAACCTTAAACAGAATTGAAAGTCTTTGAAAATCTTCCGTCGTGTCTACCTGCTTCAACCTCCACCCGCCACTTCGGACACTCCCCGTGGTCGTCGTTGTCTATGCAAACCTCACGAGAGGATCACGACCCTTGTTTGTGTCAAAGAAATAGAGAGGTAGAGCTTGAAGGGGTCAATCCGGGTTGCCTTTTAGTTGGAAACCTGATCTTCCAATTGGGTCCTCCAGATTCATTAGCTAAAACAGAGACAATCTTACTTGCACACGCTCGCGGAGTTCTTAAGAACATCAATAAGATTCTTCTTTGCAGTTGCTTCACTTTAATGGTTTCGTATAAACTGCGCTTTTCAGAGTGGCAGGGAACACTGTGTTGGGTAGTCCGGATAGTATAACAAATTATCATATTCAATGTTTGGTGACGTTCTTCAGACCGGATAAACCCGGACCCATATAAGAAATCCAACATACGGGTGGGACTTGGATTGGATAAAAAATTTAAAAGTAACTTAATACTTAATGTTACTTCCAAGGGAGTGATGGAGTGAGACATCCGGATATTGCTTCGATAGCACTGCACAAGGACCACCACCAATATAGTCGATCATTGCACAAACGACGTCGCCTCCAACTTGTCACTGCTAGCTGGCGATCGTGTTCCGACTAGTGAGGGCGAAAAGGAGTTTAAAGATGGTTGTCGTGCGAGGATTGCATAGATCATACTTTCCACCACCTCCCTATCGCATACATCCTTTACATCAAGCTGACCTTTCAAATATTTTTCAATCCTATTCTTAGGTTGCACCAAAACATGATGTGATATTTTTACAATCCGTGGGGATATTTAGAGGATTTCAAATCCCTCTTAATCCTATCATCTTCCAATATAAATCCAGATGATCAAACATAGTCGAAGTGATTGGCGATGGTCACAAGTGACGAGGATTGGCTTTCGTGGTGGTGCTCCTCTCGCAGTGGCTAGCGAAGCAATCTTCCGATGCGTCACTCCATCAATCCATTGTTTTAAGATACCAGGTTTGTGAAGTTATTTTTAAAAAAAATTAATCCAATCTGGGTTTATCCCACACTTATCTCCAAATTTATCCGGTTTAGAGGACGTCGCCAAACATCGGATAGGATAATTTGTTATTCTATCCGGACTCTAATTCGGAATACCAAACGCAGTCTTGAGGTTTGAATTCGGGTTTATTCTTTTTCAATAAAACCCTAGTTCTGTCTTAGTTTGGGTGTTTAAGTTTTATTAAGCCTAATAGAAACAAATGAGAAAGAAGATTATTACAAAATGAGACTGAGTTTACAGCCCAATAATAACATACGGTTGGGCCGAATACCCAAATCTAATTTTCCAAAGCCCATTTCATGCACTTCTAGGATGGGTCAAGAAACAAGTGAGGAACCAATTGGCATAAAATTAGCGAAAAGTCTCGTATAAATAGAAACAAGTGATCTTGTTTTGTGGTACTTCATATGATAATCCATAAATAAACCAAGACTTCAATTATTTGATCTAGAAAAATAAACTTCATGAAAGATTGGGTATTCTGGCCAAAAAAAAGAAGAAGAAAGATTGGGTATAATAGAGGATATGAGGGTACGTATATTTTTCTACATCCTTGATAGAAATTTTCTCCGAACCATACATCTTATCGGTGGCTTACAAGTTAAAACATCATCCATATCTAAGTTTAATTGAATATAAATCATTAGTAATATTCATATCTATAATCACCATTCAAAAGATTGGTTGCAAGAAGTTTCCTCCAACTAGAGATCGAAAACACATGACCCACATTGACTTCTCACTGTAGGATGAAAATTGTTTGGTCAGTAACACATTGGTAAGTTTCAACGCTTTTATGAAAGTACCAACAATCACTGGGTTGTTTTAACTTACCAATTATCTCAGCAATTAATCAATATTTATTTACATAACGAACCAATATGTTAAAGTTATATTTTGAATGAATTCAAGTCGGTAAAGTTACCTGAAGTGTTTCGAATTGCCAATTATTCCAATAATATATCAATATATAACTATTAAAGTTACTGGTGACGTTAAAAACTACTAACCCTTATAGGAAATTGCCAGTCTTGATTTGAGTGATTAACCAATTAATTTTATCTCTACTAACTCTTATTTGAGCGAGTTACCGACATTTCTACAATGGTTCAGAAATTTCCAACGGTTTTAATAATTTACTAACATTCATTTGGCCTAGCTACCGATGTGTTAAATTTACTAATTTTTATATGAAATAATCAACGGTTTTGCTCATGTTTGTTACCAAAAGATAAGGCATTGCAAATTGGTGGGGAAACTTCTTCAAGGATTTCAAGGATTTGTTGGATTTGC